GGATTTTTTGATGGTTTGCTTCGCTTTTCGGAGCCACAAGATGGATCATTTGGCTGGAGCCATGCAACCTCAAGTCCGTGATCAATGCGTTTGTGGACATTTCTTCTGCCTGAGGGGCAATCGCCGCTTGGAATGGCTGCGCGCGGGACCTCTCAAAGAGAGCGTTTTCCTCAGCCGTCAGACCGCACGCCTGGAATTCGAAAAGAGGCGGGCTCCTTGTATGGGCTTCCAAGACCGAGTGTCAATAACTAGGAACGCTTTGCCCATGGGAACCAGCAGTTTCACATTGGCAGCAACACTTACAACCAAGAGAACTCCAAGAAAACCGCCAAACACCCCCTTGGAGCTTCCGATTCCAAAGGAAAAGGTCCGCATGGCCTGGACGCATGCCCAGTGTCGACCAGCCCCCCAGCCCACCTTGCGTTGCGAAATCCGCTTTTTCGCACCACCATGGTTGTTGTTGGGAAACATTCTTCCCATTTTTGCTTATTGTGGTTTAGTGAAAAATCCCCACTTAACTGAAATTTAAGTGTTTGCTCCCCAAACCCAACGTCAACCAAGCCACTTTGAAACCAGTAGAAAACCATAACGTTTGTTGGTATTGTCAGGGGAAGCATCACCCCAAGGTTTTTTTTAGGTGGTGCAGGATAGGTGCCCCTTTGTGGATTACTTGGTGGCAAGCGCCCGTCCATCCAGTTCCTTAGTTTTCTTTAGCGCCTTTAGTTGGTTTAGTGGTTGGGTTTCCGGTTTTTATCCATTAAAAGTTGTTCATTTTTAGTCGGGGATCTGAGGACAGCCCAGATTAGTTTGGATTGAACTCGATTATTGAAAGGAGCACCAACTAGCACAAGTGGCAACCGACGCACTTTCAGAGAGTTGCTTGGACAGATGCAGGCCATCGACCTTTAAACCTTTTGGTTTCTCTGATTTGGTCCATATTTCCTAGAAGTCCCAAAAAGGTTCACCTTCTGTTTCCAGGTGTTTTCAGCAAGTGAGCATCTATTTGTCCAAAGGTCGCCTGGTTCTGGGTCAACATTTAACCACCAGGGGACCGCAGGTTTTAGTCCTTGGTTCCATTTACCAGGCTTCTATTTGGGGTACCGTTTTTTGACCCACCCCCACCCAGGGTCAAGGTAACTTTCGTTCACGGCCCCTTCGAAGTTCGGCCGGGGTGAACGCTGGCACGATTTTTTTCAGGCGAATTCCACCCGTGCCTGCATTGGCGGCTCGGCTGCATTGGTGCAGCATGTCAATAATGGTTGGTTATTAAGATATACTCATGCAAATGGCTTTTTGATTTTACATAGAAACTAGTATACATATATATATATATAATATACATATATTTAGGGGGTTGTATTATGGTTGATACTTTTCACCAAGAGAGCATGTATGTGTGCCAAGTTGCCCAAAACAATTGGTACCTTGGCAAATGGACACAACGACTAACTCACCGGATTCATAGCTTCCCCGGGTTGATTTTGATGGGGGAGGAGTCTCCCTTTTTTAAGGGGAATCTTTTTGTGGGTGACCACCCCCTATTTGTAGGAGTTGCCCAATGCGACTCGACCTTTTAGCCTTTTGTTTTTCCAATTTTGGCACCCATTTCTATAGTCATGGCCCCAACAGATCAACCGAGCCGAGCCTTGGGAACCAAGCAGTTCCGGGTCGAAATGAGTTGCGAAGCCTTGCCAAGACAGGGCCGGGGTGTTGTAATGTGTCTGCTTTGGAGTCGTGTTCTACTGCATGGAAGCACATCGCTGTTGTTAGCCTTGCGATACCTCGGATTAGCACAGTGCTGCCAGCATTTGCTGGTCAGATGTTGGGCTTGGAAGATCTTGAATGCCAATTTGGCGGTTTTATGTGGGCATGCTGAGGCCAAATCATGGTCTACTGCCTCGACAATGCCGGGCCTCAAGTCGTTGAGTTTTTGAGGTTCGGTCAGCGTATGGGGGAGGGACATTGAGGCCTCAGGATTCATGACAAATCAGGGGGTGGGTGGGGGCGTGGCAAAATTGTGGGCGCAAAAGACGGTTTCCCCAGAAGAATCTGGAAACGGCTTCATAGGTGCATTTTGTACATGGACTTGGACTGATCGCTCACGATGCTGGCCACGATGCCCGGGGTTTCAATCACTCGCAAACCCAATGGAGATCTGAGAGAATGCTTCAGCTGAAATTTGGGACTGATCCCCAGTACTTGTACGTTCGGAGTGAGGTTGGCAAGTTTGACACTTGCTGCTGTTACTCACGTTTCTTGTTTCGATCTTCCCTGCTTTTCGAACTCGGGTGAAGCAGGGGTTCACTTTTTTTCGGCCAGCGCGCTTCTCAAGTTCATCAGAGGTCAACATGGTCCAACAAAAACCGCAAAACCCAGGGACCCGTGCCTGGGGAAATTTCGCAACTAGGTCTCCCAGGCCCCAGTAGTGCCCTTTTACCAACTTTTTCGGGGGCCCTTACTTTAACCTCTCAACTCATGCTTGTTGTTGGGACACATTTTTGGCCCATTTCTGATCTTATTGTGGTTTAGTGGTTGATTCATCCAGCCACAAAAAGCTCCCCTCTCTCGAAACCCAGCCTAATTTTTTCGAGATGTTTCGCGAATTTTCGCTCCTCAAGCCCAACGTCAAGAACCGGAGCTCCCCAAACCCCAGTCGAGAGATCTGGTAATTGGGAGAGAGCGTTAGGGGCCATGGGGTCCAGAGTTCTGCCAGGACTTCCATTTGGTGAAAGGAATATGTTGTATTTCCCCCTGTTGGTTTTAAAGTTGGAATCGATTTCACTAGTGTTTTTTTTAAATTTCTACAGGAGACGTAGGCAAATGGAGGTAGACGACTAGTGGGATTGTTTTTTTTTTCAGGGGACTTAGGCAAATGGAGGTAGACGTTGTGGAGCTTGTGGACCTTGTAAATGGAGCGTGGTGAAACATGCCGGCACGTGTTTCGATTTGCGGGGTTCGTTTTTTGCTGGTCACCTTCGGTTTGTGCGTCGGCCATGCGGTCTTTTCCTTCCAGTGGATCCCAGTTGAGCAGTTCAGAGGTACCCTCAAGCACACGTTTATCGCTCGATGCCGACCGCCCCATTTCTCGTTTGAGGCGCGCGAGAGGGAAGCAGTGGTGCGACGACTCTTGGCGGCGCGGGCCCCGAGCCTCTGGAGTCAGAGACTCTGAGAGGTCACAGCGGGGGTTCATCGGTTAATACAGCAAATTGGTTTACCTATGTGTACCTCAGTTGTTCAGTGGCACCCTTTTTCTTGTTTTTTTTTTTTTTGGGGGGGGGGGGCTGCCCCACTAAAAATGGGCTTCCCCGAAAAGGGTTCCCGTTTTTTTGCAGGGTCACTGAACAACTGAGTTACCTCAAACATCAAGGTACTCCAAAGGTGCACAAATCACGGGTGGGCGAGGTTTCCAAGCACTGGCTAAAAGTGCGATTCCAGCGCGCCAAGCCTAAAGATCCAACTTAGATGCTTGGAGACAGTCTTAAAATCAAGATCACGTTTAGGGATGGGTTCTAGACGTATAGATATCATGCACCACTACAAGGGGAAATGCTGTGCTTCAAGCTCAAGTTGGTGGCATACAGGCCTCCATAGCTACAACTCTGCTTCGGCATGTCCGTAGTACTGGGAGCTGCCTCTATATAGCCTTCACTGTTCTTGGCATGTTTTTTTGGTTTTTTAGTTTTTTGGTTCTGTTCATTTTTACTGGGGGTCTGCAAAAAACATTTTTTTCGCTACCATACCAAGAGTAGAGATGTAGCCACGATACGAACAAAGGCTATTTTCTCTGGGTTCTGTGGGGCTAGTGGAAACCTTTTTAGGTCCCGGAACACAAAAAGTTTAGGAAGCACCAACACCCGCGGTGGCATTTGCCGAGTCCCGAGTAAGTATGGAGATTCGAGCCAAGGAGCGAGGGATATTCAATTTTCGTGAAGTCCACATTAGACAGGGAGCTAAAAGAACAGAAGGCTTGCACATCGGCTAAAACAACATTTGCAAGTATGATTTTTGTGGCGTACCCGGGGTGTCCATGGTTGTTATTGGGAAGCATTTTACATTTTTGCTTATTGTGGTTTAGTGGTTGAAATCCCCACTTAGCTGCTAAAATATAAATTGTTGCTCCCCTTCCAACGTCAACCAAGTGTCAAGGAAACAACCAGGTGACATGCACGGCATAGGTGTTTCCTGAAGGTTCCTTGCGGGGGTGAATTGAACCCCAGTTGTGGCACCCTTTTCTCCATAGGTGTCCTTTATAGGTTAGTTTGTTTGAACTGTTTAGGTTAATTTGTTTGAACTGTTTAGGTTAATTTGTTTGAACTGTTTAGGTCAGTTTGTTTGAACATAGATTCTGGGTGAATTATAACGACCTCACACGACCTCACACGAACGAATTCACCCCAAATGGTGGTTTATGTGGGGAATAGCCACCCAAGCACCCTATTTCAGGTTGGTGACATATTATAGTTCACCCAGATAGATTGAGCTGGTTCCCCTCTGGTTCGAATCATTTACCAGTGCCAGCTATTAGTCCACAAATACAGCCATGCTTTGCCCATCAGCTGACGTTCAAATCATGTGCAGTGAGTCCTCAGAGCAAGACTCAGTCAGCGAATTGATCTTTGATCTGACTTTTGGGTTTTCCCTTGGCCCAGTTGCAGAAACCCCAAATGGGGTGATCACCTTCTATTTCCGGCTTGTTTCGTTTTTTTTTTGCCCGTCTTTCCCTGAACCTTGGCGCGAGATTTTGGGCCGTGTCTTAGTCAGATATGGGCAGCCAATGGAGTCCTTCTGTCTCTCTTGTTTTTGGGGTTGCTGTGGATGGTTCCGAACTCCATTTCGCACCACGCGATGGAACCGCGGTTGAAGCCATGGTTCGTTGGCATGTGCAAGAGGGAATCATCATTCATGTTTTCCAGGCTTTCTTAGGCGGCACGAGATTGACTTCGCAACCACCCAAAGCAACACTGAGGGCGGATGGCGTGCGCGCACCTCGCCCCGGCATTTGGCCATTTGCGGCTCCAGCCGTGTGGGGACCATGCGATGAAGTCTGTCTTCGGTGGGTGGCTATGGACACTCGTCCGATGCGTCAGGAATGCGCTTGGGGCAGACCACACACAAGGGGATAGCTTTGCGCATGTTCGAGGGGATTCCCCTTAAAAAAACAGCAAACAGGGGGTACCCTAACACCCCACCCCCCCCAAAAAGAAGAAGAAAAAAAGAAAAGATGAAACACAGAAACAAACACACACACACAACTGCCAAGACCTCACTCCCTGAGTTCCTGGACTTGAAACCTTTGAGATCACACATGTAGTGGTAAGCAGAAAGTTCAGACTTTCTACTGGGAAGTGAGAATACATTTTCCCGGACTGTTTTTTGCTCCCACCCGCTCGTCTCTTAGAGTCTCCGCTTTGTACTTCTTTCTGTTTCTCCCCTCAAGCCATCCCGGACTGGGGCGTTGGCTGCGGGCATCTCATTGCCCGTGGAAAGCCTGCTCTCTCAAAATGTGTGGCTTCCTTTACACGGTAAAAGAAAGAGCTACACAAGCAAAGGGAACAAGACACCCTGCACACCCCCCGCCCCACCCTCGCAACGGCTTTTTTGGGTGGCACTCAGGGTTGTGGACATGGGTTTGAAGCAGCCGTGCGCACAACTCAATTTGCATCAATTATAGCGAGCTCAGGGTCAAAACGTGCTCATGTACAGGATGTAGGTCGGATGCTGTTAGATTTTAAGAGAATTCCGACCGAGGCAACCCTGCCCGCCCGCCGACAGAGCTTGTGACAGACAGCTGCGACACGCCTGTGACAGGCAGATATGACAGACAGCTCGGCTGTGACAGAGCCTGTGACCGACAGATGCGACACACAGCTGCGGCAGAGCCTGTTCTTTGACAGTCCGAAGCCTGGCTCCTGCCAGTGGTCAGGCTAGGATAGCCGCGACAGCTTTCAGGGCGGATTGCTCGAAGTAAACTCATTTGCAAACCACGTCGAACCTTCTTCTTTTTGAGGGCTGGCTAATGAATTCATCAAGGTCTTGCAGTAGTGCCCTTTTACCCTTTTTTGGGGGGAGGGTTCCCCTACTAAAACAGGATACAGAAAAATTCTAACGTCTCCACTAGAGGGCCTAGCCATAATAGCGCTTCCCGCGGCTTCCCGCTGCTTTCTTAGGACCTGCTGCTCATCTGGAGACACCAGCCCGGATCGCCTCGATCGCCTGGATCGCCTTGAGCCGGAAGATTGGGCCGCGACGGCCTCGGACAAGTCAAGCGGTGAATGGATGGGTGTGCGGGGGAGCGTTGCCTTTTGAGTGGTTTCAGCGGGGCCAAGGGTTGGGTGGAAGTGTCCCGGGTAGAGAGAGTTTGTTTGTGGCTCTCCCCCTGGTTGCGCCGGCAAGACGGACCGAGACAGAGGCAAAGGCAGATGCAGAGAGAGAGAGAGAGAGAGAGCGAGCGAGCGAGCGAGCGTGATAAGCTACACTTTGGCAAGGCAAATGTCCCATTTGGTGTCCCGCTATAGTGTGGTGGTTTGTCCTGGCATGTCCTGTCCTGTCCTCGCGCGCGTGCCTTGCCCTAGCTGACTCAACCAGCAGATTCATGCACGCTTTGCGCAAACTTTCTGGTAGATGACTCAGGACGCATTGTTGATGATGCCAGCATCCTGTTTGGTGGACGGGACGGAAATTGCGTTTTTTGTTTCATCATGTTCGTTGGCACTATCGCGTTGGTACTTGTTTGCTACGTTCAACGCGTGCCGCTTGTCGGACGATCGCTGAGGATGCCATGGGTGCATCCCATGCCAAGATGTTCTGTGGATTGCAAAAAGGTCCCCCAAAAAAAAGGGTCACTTCGCAACATCCAAACATGGTGCCACAACCAACAGCCCAGCGAATCCTGCCGGATCGTGTCGTTAAAAAAACAAGAGGTATGCGCAAAGAAGCCAAGAACCATCCGCTGAGCCTGCGCCTTGCGCCTTGCCTGATGCTTCCAGATGTTTCTGACAATGGGTGTGTCTTGAAATAGGGGACCTCCAAAAGCATGGCGTTCTCTTTAGGTTCCCATGCCACTCCGAATCAAGGGAACGCCTGAGACAACCTAAAAACAAGTCACGCCCAGATTGTTTCCTTAGCCATCACAAGCGAGACGCGCGCCAACCACAAACCAATGACAAAGGTCTGATGAAAAAGAGAAAAAATGGAGGAGACAAGCAAAGTACACGCGTTTCCCTTTGGGTTCCCTTTTAAGAATCACCAGAAAGGGGGGGGCGCCGCGCGGCAACAAACACCGCCCATGCCGAGGTGAGTCGGGCAGCTTGGCTGCAGCGGTGGGGTTTTCTGTTCAAAGACAAAAGCGCATGGGAATCGACGACTTTCGCACCCACGATGCCGGTCGAAGCCCTAGGAAACGAAGCTGAGGAGGGGATCCGTGTCTTTGGGTAGACTTTTTGTGTAGCCGTATGAAGCGGACGGCTGAGAAGAGCGACCAATTCCTTACCCCAAGTAGTGTATTCAAGCGGGCGGCCCCCCCCCCTCCCCCTTCACAAAAAAGACAAGAAAAACCACCCTCCCCGTTCGTGGGCTTTGTGCAAGGGAAACGGCGGCCGGATCCTGGGGCTGAGCGCCGTCACAGCTTAGAAAGAGGAGCCCAGGGCAGGGCAGAAAACCGCCTCGAAGGCTCACCTTCCCGGCAGCTCTTGCTCCGAAAAAAAACGTCATTGCAAGACAGCGCTCGAAGTCGGCCCATGCTACGAACGCATCCACTAGGCAAGCCCGCCAAATGCGCATGCAAGACGTTCAACCGAATATATTTTTCTGCCGTGCTGGCAGAAGGCCCAGCCTGCCGCTCGTCCGCAGGAAGTCCCAGCCAGGCTGCTAAGATTCGATCCACGGCTTCTGCAGCCCTCACGGCACCGCTCGGGGTACCACTCGGCACGCTTGAGCGGTCCATGGCAACACTTCACGCCTCCCCCCGCCCAAAGCGCACCAGCCGCTTCCATTTGCTTAAGAATATTTTTTCCCCTGTTGGTTTTAAATGGAATCTATCACTACTGGAAATATGGTGTTTTGTTTTTTTTCAGGGGGCTTAAGCAAATGGCAGGCCACTATGCCGAGTGGGGTTGGGCTGTTGGACTCCCGCACGCAGACACTTTCCCTGACATCCCGTCAGGCGATCCAGCCAACGAATGAACAGGACCTTTCAGGATACAGTCGGGCTTGTGAATTTCTTTGCGAGCATGTGCTTTTTTTGTTGTGGAAGCAGGGGTTGTCAGGGGTTTTAACCGGAATGAGAGCCGCAGCTTTCGGGGTCCAAGTGCTTAACCTATTTTGACACGAGCAATCCCGCCATGTCCTGCTGATGTAGCAGGGTTTCAGTAGGGAGTTCTAAGCTTGTTGGGAGCGGACCGATATACATTTTTCACCTTCAGCGAGACCATCATTTTTTTCGCGGCTCGTGTTGATTTGATTGAGCTTCCTCTTGGTGGATGATGTTAAAGGGGAAACAGCACAGCTGAACGACGGTTTTTCCCCATGTCCCAAACCGTAGGTGTCAGGTCCAAGGTGTTGGGGGTGGAGAAACTGCGATCGATCCACTGGGTGCCCAGGATGATCGGACGAAGCCGAGTTGCAAGTCGCGGACCACTCAGGCGGCACTGTCAAGCTGTGTATGGCCTGGGTGATTCTTCCGTTCGCTTGGTCTGTTGTTTTGTTTTTTTTGTTTGATTGTTCCCCCCCCTGCTTTCAAAGGGTTTTTTTCCCTGTCAGTGGTTTTTAGCAGGAAATGTAGGAACTGTGTTTTCACCGGCCGGGCAGGTGCAAAGAGTCGAAATTGGCTATCCTGATTGGCCAGCATGTATTGTTTTGTGGCACTTAAGCCGCGGATGACCGCGGCTTGGGATCCAAAGCTGCTAGGCGAGGCAGATGCAAACGGTGTGGATGGTTGCGAAATCCATTTCGCAGCACCTAAAAAGAGCCCTGGGGTTCCTAAAAAGAATCCAGCACCACTGCATAGGGGGCCTTTTGGGAAAAAACACAGGCAAATGGGGCTTAAAACCCATCTAAATCTAAGACCCTAGAATGATGATCCCTCTACAAATACCAACGAACAATGGTTTGCTATGGTTGCAAAGTGGTGCGAAATGATTTTCGCAACTACCCGCAGTATGACTGGGGTCTCCTCTTTGATGTGATTTGTTTCGGTGGGCTAGGTCCGAACAGAAAGGGTGAAAAGACGGTTTTGTGTGTGTGTATTCCTGGGGCTGAGCCAGGTCAACATGTCCAGGTGTTTTGTTGCTGTTGCCATGTTCCGGCATGAAAGAAATGGCGAAGAGGTCCCGCGGGGAGACGTATTTTCACGGAAGCCACCAGGGGGGGCTATGGGGGGCTATGGGCTATCCCTGGGTAAGCCAAGGATAAGTCATGGATAGGCCATAAATAAGGCCTTAGGGTGTTAAGCCATAGTCCCTCCCCATAGCCGCCCAAGGGGGATGAAACATGGAAACAACCAGGGATGCCTTTCTGGGCTGTTCAAAGGTCATCCTTTTCCTCAGCTCAGGTTACGCAAGGAACTGGTCCCCTCAGTATCCCTTAGTGTCTTCCCTAGAGGGCTTATGGATTAGGATTGGCCAACCCTCCATCCTGAGCAGCCCAGGTTTAAGAGAGAGAGAGAGAGAACTAAAGTCTTCCAGGATCTCCCCACCCAGGCTCCATGTGAGGTGGTGCGAGGTCAAGGTTACCCAAATGAATTTCAGACGTTGTGGACATGACTCCCCCACGTTCAAAAGGTGCAGGACCCGCTTAATTTTCACATCCAGATCTGTTGTGCTTGGCTACCCATGTGGCTGTTTCCCCGGAAGCCAGGAATTTCCTTCCAAATCGGCACTTGCCCACCATCCAGGATTTCCGGATTTCCTGCACACTCCCTATCATGGAAACTGACGCTAAATGGGGCGTTGGACACCCCATGTCCACTTTCGGAAAGAGTCGGTATTAGTCGGTATCGGTCAGGTAGCCAGTTGGTTTGGATTGATGGTAAATGGGAACCATCCCGACTGAACCAGGAAATGAACGAAAGGACCTAAGCATGGTTGTTGTTGGGATTATTTTACATTTTGTTTATTGTGGTTTAGTGGTTGGAATCCAACCACTTAACTGCCAACGTCAACCAAGTCAGGAAGGACGCCTTGTTTCCCCTTTTCTCCTGGTAGGTGCTGCCTGCGCCCTCGCCATCGCTTCCTTGTAGGCATGGACACGGGGCTGCGTAGGTCAAAGTTTTCCTGGGGTCTTACTCCTTTTTGTTCTTTTTCGGGGAAGAGTTGGGTAAAAGTAGATGGCCCAACTTATTTTGGGTGAAGGGGATGCCAAAACCAAGGGTGGAATTGTGGCATCTACCAACTCACTCTACTCTGGATGGACGAAATCCTGCACCACCTAAGACACCATGGGAAACCATGGTCGGTTGGTATTTACAGTGGAACATCATATCATTCCGTTGGGTTTCTGAACGGTGCGAATTGGACTTCACAATCATACACAGCATGCTCACCCAATTGATAACTTGTGGGGAGGAAATCCGGGTTCCCCCACCTGCGATCTCAAGAATCTCTTAACTTGATGGTGCGATAGGTAGGGCATGACCAAGTCCGGGTGTTGAGAATGACCCATTTGGGAAACCAAATCCGGATGGTTCATCTCGGGGTCATTTCATTTCTCATTCCCCTATCGAGCCGGCAAGCTAAACGTAACTTACATTTGCTTTAGAGCATGCTTTTCTTTTCCCTTTGAGTTTCTAAAGGGGCATCTATGACTAATTACTGGACCTATGGTGATTTTCAACCGGCGGCGAAAAAGCAAATGTGAGAGCGAAGGGCTCTTTGCCCGGGTGCCTCAAGACCAGTGGCCAGGCGACCTGACGATCTGGGCCTTGGATTTTCCCTTGCCCATCGTCATGGCCCCAAATGGCCATGGGTCAAAACCCCGTACCCCCAGTGAACATCCTAATCCCCACTAAAAACAGACTAAAATGGGTACCATTGGTTTTGAACCATGGCCAAATGGTGATCACCTTGTGGGTTCTGGGTCCTTTGGGTCTTGTTGCCTGCATTTGGGTGCTCCTTCCGCAGTCGCAGGCCTTGTAAGAGGCCTGACCTGCTGGATTTCGGCCGGGCGCCTTAGCTCGCGGCCGGCTGCCAGCTGTCGGCATGTTTTTGTCCGATTGGGTGCTCGAGCGCCCCTGCCTAATGTCTGATTTACCCAAAGGGAGGCCATTGCCAAAAAGGGAATGGGCAACCGTGGTTTGTTTTGTTGCCGCTTTTCGGCACGAGCCCCACTGTCGTAGCTGTCGCGCAGCTTTTGGCATGGCAGCTGGTTTTGGAAAAGCTCACAGAACTTATCAAACCATTCGGTTAAGAATATGTTGTTTTTGTTTATTTTCCTTTGGTTTTACAGGGACTCATCACTACTTCAAAGGGGGCTTAACCAAATGGAGATTCATCAAGCCAGAAAGACGGAACCGTGTTTCTGACAGAACTCTGCCAGTGAAGGGCAAAGTCAGTCATGTCGTGCTATTCGTCTAGGTCCCCCAGTAGTGCCCTTGTACCCTTTTTTGGGGGAGGGTTCCCCTACTAAATAGACTGCAGCAAAAAGGCCAACCTCCCTACCGGAGGACCTAGTCGTGGTGTCATTCTTGTACCAAAGTGAAGCTCCCCCCCGACGGCTGCTTTCCCTTGAAGCCCGTGACCAGAGAGCCATCTCTTGGCGCTGAGTGTGGGGCCCAAGATGTAGACCTGTGGAGACCAAATTCTGCGGTCCCGCGGAGCTTAAAGTTTGAGCCACACCCCTTGGCTTTTCCCAGCCATCCGGGTTCCTCAAATTTGTGAGGTTTTGAGTTTTGTTGGTTTTTAGTGATCGGGTGTCCGAATTTCAACCAAGAGTGAACCGCCTTCAGCATCTTTTAGCCGGGGATCTGAAAATGGACATCAGTGGTTGGGGGTTCCGAACTTAACCTACTTGGTGGCTTCCAGCCATCCCCTCAGCTTTTTTGCTTTTTTGCTTTTTTGTGTTTAGTGGTGGTCTCCATTCGGCACACTACAAGTTGTTTTTTAGCGGGGGATCTGAAAAAGGACAGCCCAGATTTGTCTAAAACAACTTTTCGTCGAAAATCAGATTTGAGAACCACAACCAGAACCATAGGTGTCCTTTTTGGTTCTTTTGGTCGAAAAACTGGATGGGGTTCCCTGGTTTACCTGCTGGTTTTTCATGTTCTACCAGGGATATCCATCTATTTCCCCTTAAAAGGACACCTATGACCATCTTGGGGTAGGTGCACCACCTGTTTTAGAACCTATTTTGGTGGGGATTGGGATGTTCACTGGGGTGCGATTTGGATTTTGATGGCCATTTGAGGATAGCCACCCGAACCCCCCGCCGCGCTTCTTTTTTTCTTCCTTCAGTCCCCCGAGTCCGGCTGAGGTGACTGCGAGGCGACCGCGGAGCCGCAACTTGTCCATCTGCGGTCGGTCGACGTGGGTGGTGTACTTGCCATGACTAGGCCCCCCAGTAGTTCCCTTTGACCCTTTTTTGGGGAGAGTTCCCCTACCAAAAGGGACTACAGAAAAAAAAGGGTACCCTTATTCTAAACTCTTTACTGGAGGACCTAGAATGAGTTCGAATGAGCCCCAGACAACATCCAACTGGTGGTTTCCTTTGTTCGGGAATCCCCAAACAGTTCACCGGGACTCGGTCATTCCTTTTCAGCACCAGCAAGTCCGTTTTGCCACTTTGGGTGTCCAACCTTTAAAAAAAGCAAGCAACACCCATTTTGGGAGGTCGTTCGACCTTTGCCATTTTGAGTGTCCAACCTAAAAAGAGAGCGACCCATTTGGGGAGGTGGTTCCACCTAGCTTAATTTACGCAGTATGAGGATCATGATCTCCGTACCTGAGCCGAACCACAATTCAATGGGTTGTGCTCGCTGCTTTTGAGAGTAGAAAGGACTCACTCATGAAGGTCCCTTGCCGACCCTAATTCATACTCTAGTCCCTTTTCAGTGGGGATCTTTCCTGCAGGGGATGGGTGTCAATCAAGGGTCATAATCTCATGTCCGGTTTATGAGTAGTGATTTGCCCAGATATCAGTGCTAGCGGAAAACGGATGCACCGAACTCGGTCGCATGCCAAAGATGTGGGGAGGATCGATCTAGTGTCACCGGCAAGCAACTACTTGCGTCACGTCCGGTGATGCTTCCGGGCATCCCCTTCAACATGATAATCTCACTTGCCCTAAGCCGACCTTTTGACCTTTTGGTTTCCCATGTTTGGTCCATGTTTAGTAAAGGTCCCAAAAGGTTACCCTTTTATTTCTGGGTCCTTTGGGCAACTGAGTAAAGGGGATCGGGAGGGCTCATCACTTTTGGAGTGTGAAGCCAAGTCGCGATGTCCGAATCCTGGTCGCGTTTCCTGAGGCTGAAAGATACAAAAGGCCGGGAAATTGCTCGTCAGGGGGGGTGGGTGGGGGGGTGGGGGGGTGGGGGAGGGCTTCGGACTCATCAAAAGGAGGCCAATGCCAACGATGGGTGGTTCTTGGTTGCCAGAATGTAGGGAAGTCGTAGGGAAGTCGTAGGGAAGTCGTAGGGAAGTCCAGCGATACTTGCTGAGTGTTGGAGGTGTTTTTGGGCAAATGATGAGCTCCACGGGGCAAAACGATTCCATGACACGAAGGCCGTTTAAATTCACCTTGGGAAAACTAATGTTGACCCCGGATTAACAAACCGGTTTATTTTTTGTGGGGGGTGCGAGCACCTCCAATAGTGATGACTCTCCACTAAAACAGGGAAACGCACCCCCTATGAATCAACCGATCGGGGTTTAACTTCATCCGGGGTGCCCATTAACCATTTGCCCAGCGCTTATCTGCCACTAGCAGTTTGCAAGGCTCCAGACCTTCAGACCTCAGCCCAAGTCTGAACATGCAAACTAGAAAGTTGTGTTGTTTGTTTGTTTGGATTCAGAGTTTGCCTTTGCAGCTTTGCACTTTTTGACAACAACGGGACCCCGGTTGTAAAGACACCCCTGGAAGGGTATCAACTTGATTCCCTCAAATCGATTGAAATGCAAGCTGCTTTCTAACTTGGCTGCCATCTGGTTAGATCGTAAGCTTCCACTTATAACTCTCCGGCAAAATGGTTAGCCTCTCCCATGAACCAGCAAAAGGTGAAACTGCTTGTGGGGTAGCTACGCAAGCTGACCCTTTGGGGCGGCAGGTTCCTCCAGCGTCCAATTGTCGCAAGCTATGGAAACTGGCTTTTGCTCCCCCCGACTTCCGCCTTTCGGCGGACATGTCGAGCCGAACCTCAAATCCCCATGTCCAAACTCTAAAAGTGCTGTCCACAAATGCAGTCTTTGTCTTCAAATAAGCGCGGCCTCATAAAATGGTTGCTTCCTGTTGGCTTCCCTTAGCGAACCAAAAGGTGGTTCCGAACAGAGACAAGCTCAACTATATGGGTCTGTCTTTTTTGAGGGTACCCCTTTTCCTTATCAATTTCAAGAGTTTGATGGTACTTCTTTGAAATTGATTTTGTTTTGTTTAATTTTAATATTAACGATTTGTTTGATTATAATTGGTGGTTGTCAAGGGGAAACCACTATTTTCGTGGGTCCAACCTTAAAAAGGCCTGCTGGCAGGGAATGAGGTCATGAACCCAGTCCCCTCGAAGGAAACCGCCAGTTGGATGGCAAAAACAAAAGGGGTCATTCCCTCATTCCCTGCATATCGCACAAGCAGGAACACACAGACACACACATTAAAAAGGAACACCCAACTTGGTCTGTCTCAAAATTAGGTGCCCCTCCCCCACATAAAACCCACACCATAAACCACCATACAGCCATCATAAAGCCACCATAAGGCCACCGTAAACCACCATAAGGCACCATAAAGCCACCACAAAACCACCATAAGGCCACCATAAACCACCATAAAACCACCATAAACCACCATAAAACCACCACAAAACCACCATACGGCCACCATAAAACCACCATAAGGCCACCATAAGGCCACCATACGGCCACCATAAAACCACCATAAGGCCATCCTAAAACCACCATAAGGCCACCATAAACCACAATAAGGCCACCATAAGGCCAGCATAAGGCCACCACACAACCGCCATAAGGCCACCACAAAACCACCACAAGGCCACCATAAAGCCACCACAAAACCACCATAAGGCCACATAAGGGCCACCATAAAAGCCACCACAAGGCCACCATAAGGCCACCATAAACCACCATAAAACCACCATAAGGCCGCCATAAGGCCACCATAAGGCCACCATAAGGCCACCATAAACCACCATAAAACCACCATCAGGCCACCACAAAACCATCATAAGGCCACCGTAAGACCACCATAAACCACCATAAGGCCACCATAAACCACCATAAACCACCACAAAAGCACCATAAGGCCACCATAAGGCCTAAAGCACCACAAAACCAACCACCATAAGGCCACCATAAACCACCATAAGTTTGGCAGCTGCCAGCCGAAAGATTTTTAAGGTTCTCTCATCCTAAAGGGAGCCCTTCACCTTCCAAGGGAAGCTTAAGGAGCTTTGTAGCTTGTCAAAGGGAAGCGGGAAGCCTTTTAGAGGAGATACCTGCACAGGGAGCTTTTAGAAAGAAAAGAAGGGCGATTGTGAGCAAAAGGCCTTGGCCGAAGAACTGGTTTGCCGGGGAGAAGAGGGATGGCAAAACAGTCTAGCCGAAAAACTGGCTTGAGGAGATGTGATCGTGAGCAAAAGGCCTCTGCCGAAAAACTGGCTAGAGAAGTCGGGCAATGGAGATCATGGCCCCTGGGTCTTGGGCATTGGCGCTATGTTTTCTTTGTTGGGAGCCTCGGACTGCAGGGGCTCGAGCACTGCAGGCTACCCTAAAACATAGCACGCTCAAGAGCGCAGAAATGTTCTCCATGGTTACATGCTGAAGATCCAGGGGGATCTAATCCCCTGTTCTGGGCTAAGGAACCCTGTTGGTGGCTGGAAAACCAGTTTTGCCGGGAGTTTGCCCAAAAAGTCGCGGACGCGCCAGGTGCTTCACAGCCGCAGACATCCACAGAGCAGTCCGTCAGCAACTCAGCTGCGGCCTGCCTGCGAGAGACTGATGCCTGCCAGTGACCGTGCGGTTACAAGCTTCTCTGAAGCCCTTTCAAATCAAGCTGTCTTTGAGCAGATCGCATCGTCAGTCTTTGCCACGATGGGTCTGATGAACAGGGCTATGCGCAACTTGTATACCCTCAGGCAGCAGCAGGCCCGACAGAGCCTCTTGGCGCGTGTGGCCATGCCGGTTTCTGAGGAGCCTGTTCCGGATCCCGAAGTGGAGCCTTCGAAGATCCCGCGCCAGTGCCCCCGCCAGAAGAGGAAGTCGTGGTGGGCGAAGCATCTGTGGAGGAGGCTAACCGCCTGCCGCGGAGGTTCGCGTGTTCAGGGTGCTTGGTGATGGCAACTGCTTCTTCAGGGCCGTCAGCCAGTGGTATGCTCAGGACGGCCAGCCAAGCGGACACACCGCCTTGAGGAGTGCATGCAGATGGAAGCTGTGGCCTGGGTTCAGCGCCACTGGGGACTCTCCCGGCTTCCAGAGTCCCCACGACGTGGCAAGTTGGAGTGATGAAATGATCAAGGACGGAGCCAAGGCGGACGAAATAGCATGGACGGCCTGGCCCGATACCTCGAGCAAAGGATTGTGGCCATTTGCTTCAACCCGAGACAGGGAAACTGTACGAGGTTGTTGCTGGCAATGACCAGCCCGGGCAAGCCCGTCATCCCCGTCTTCTTCAACGGGAAGATGGTGAACGGCCACTACGACCTGGTCGATGAAGGAAATGCGGCTCACGCAGCAGCCTTTGCGGGCAGGCTGCTACTCCCGGCATAAGCCGCCCAAAGCAGTGAACTTCGAAGGCGTACTGCGGGCGCACCGGGAGTGGAAGAAGCAGCAAGAGTTGCTCAAGTTGAAGGAGGCGCAGGAAAAGCAGTCCAAGGCGAGGCAGCCGAAAGAACCCCAGCCGAAGCAGCTGCAACAAAAGCAATCCGTCAAGAAAAGGCCTGCCGCTGGGCAGCTGCAGGAGGAGCAGGCAGTGAAGAAGAGACCTGCTGCCGCTGAGGAGCAGGCTGCCAAAGTACAGCCTGCGATGAAAAAGCTTGTCAGCGCCGGCGGCAAGCAGAATATCCCCGCCGAAGGGGATGGGGCTGTTGCGTTTGAGCCGCGAGTCCCCCGCGCCTCCAACCGAAGAGCCGATCAGCAGGCGCCCAGCCGAAAGACCCGCTCCGACGGCCACCACCTACGAGACGAGGAGAGGTGGTTCGTCAAGACCAAGGCCACCCACGAGAAGTACGGACAGTTGAGGAACGAATCTCTGTCGGATGCCATGGCGCAGGTGTACTGAAACCGAGCCATGCTCCTGGTGGCAGCGGTGGACGGGGACGGGGAGGCGAAGGAGACATCCATGTTTCAAAGGCGGCAAGGCAGTTTCGAAGGCGACCCTGGACACGATGAAGCGGACCTTCAATGCCCTTGCCTGGGCCTTTGTGTATCCAAATCTGGAGGAACACGAGTGGCAGAGATAGTGGCAGGACTTTGCCAACATCCGCACCGAATCCGGAAGAAAGGCGGCCACACTTCAGCCGAAAAACTCCGCCAAGGCCATTTGGGCGGAGGACGCCTCAATGGCCTCGGGGGGGTATTTCGTGCAGAAGTGGGAGCCGACCTTGCAGTCAATCCTCGGCTCGCTTGCCAAGCTTGAGGAAGAGACCAACGGGCTGGAGTTCAAGCACGCAGGGTTCCAACGAAACCTGCCGAAAGACCCAGCCCGAGCTCTCAAGGCGCAGTTCCAGCTAGCTGAGGCAAAGATGGCCTTGCTTCTCGGGAGGTCGGAAAGATTCTGCACTCGGGTGTTCGAACTCTACAAAGACTACCTGAAGCGCTATTACCCAGTCCTCGTCGAGAACTTGGGCTTTCATACCCGGCACAACAAGACCTGGACAGACGAAGGGGATGGGGAAGGCGCAGGGCGACTGAGAACCCTCTTTCCGGGTTTTTGGGCGGATAGCCAGCTGTCCCGGTTTAACCGAGTTTTGAGAAAGGGCCTCGGGACGGGACAGCAACGGATTCGGAAGATCCTCAACAAAGCTTTCATGTCGGAGAGAGAAAGCTGGAGGATCACTCGTCAGGCCATTGACCAACAGCTCTCGCACTCAGCGGAAATGTCAGATAATACCTTGCCGGGCTGAGAAACACGGTAAGCCCGCTGCAAGCACACCTTTATGGTTGGAGCTGAGCTTCAAAGCCAGATTGGAGCCAGAGGGGTGGGCGCTTTGAGCGTTTTTTTTCAGTCGCTTGCCCATGAACTGCTCTTGCCTCACTTGTGCAGCAGACTGTGCCGCTTAGGTCCTGAAGCCTTCGTGAAGAGAGCGGGGCGCGACGCTCAATCAACGCGTATTTTTTAATCTTTCGGCAAGTCTCTTGGGATGGAAGCCTTTTCTGGATGGAGCCAGTTTTTCGGCAAACCTGTGATGGGGGGGTCTTTCCACCTGGCCAATTGACGGGCCCAGTTTTTCGGCCGATATCGATAAGGCGGGGGTGACGGCGGGGGTCACGTCCAACTGGTGGAGCCAGTTTTTCGGCAAACTTGTGACGGGGGTGTCTTTCCACCTGGCCAACTGACGGGGCCAGTTTTTCGGCTGATCTGCGAGGAAAAGGCTGGAACGACGGCGGGGGTCACGTTCAACTGGTGGAGCCAGTCTTTCGGCTAACCCTTGGGGAAAGCGGCACGCATTGAGGGTGGTGTGCAGGGTGCTTTGCGTGAAGTGGCCGGCCGTGGCTTGTGTCAAAGGTGGCCTGTGTCAAGGGCGGCCTGTGTCAAGGGCGGCCTGTGTCAAGGGCGGCCTGTGTCAACGGTGGCCTGTGTGAAGAACAACTTGTGAAGAACCTTTGTGAGAACCCCCCTGTCTCTGTAAGCTGTGGGCAGGAATAAAAAGGAGCCCATAGTAGGTACTAGTCTCACTGACCCACCAGTCTTTCAACAAAACCAATCAACCCAGTCTTTCGGCAAATCGCTTTTTAAGCCAGCAGTCTTTGAGCATTTTGGGGGGGGAGTTCATGGGCTGGCGAACTTGAACTGGGTTGTGGATTCAGGCTCCAGGGTTGTCGGCCCCTGGCCGACAGAACCAAAGTAAGTTCACCATAAACCACCATAAGGCCACCACAAACCACCATAAGGCCACCACAAAACCACCATAAGGCCACCGTAAAACCACCATAAACCACCATAAAGCCACCATAAGGCCACCATAAAGCCACCATAAAGCCACCATAAGGCCACCACAAGGCCACCGTAAAACCACCATAAAACCACCATAAGGCCGCCATAAGGCCACCATAAGGCCACCACAAGGCCACCATAAACCACCATAAGCCCACCACAAAACCACCATAAGGCCACCGTAAAACCACCATAAACCACCATAAGGCCACCATAAAGCCACCATAAGCTACTATAAAGCCACCATAAACCACATCTGGTTGGACAGCCTTCTGACAGTTCGAAGGGCTTGGCGCCTGTCAGAACTTGGAGCCTGCCAGGTGCCGGCAGCTCGACCCCGCGAGCTCCGGCTATGCCTGCAGCCACCTACCAGGTGGGCGTTTCTTTTGGGAAAGCTGTGGGTATTCAGTGATTCAGGTATCTGGCTGCGGGTCAAAACCAATGATACCATTTTGGGGTGGGTGTACCATCCATTTTGGGATACGGTATTTTGACCAATGGCCGGCTAATCTCACTTCCCAAGTTCCGTTTCGGACACTTTTTGGGTTTGGACCATTTTGATGGGAAACAACAGTTCAGGAAGTAATTGGTGGTTTGGATTGGTGGTGTGGATTTGAACCTGTGGTTCTTGTGGGTCGATGGGAGCCAAAGGCCTGCCCACGCACCAGAACGGTGAAAAAGAGCCTAGGTCCCCCAGCACCCTTTTACCATTTTTTGGTTGGGGTACCCTTATTCTAACCTCTCTACTGGAGGACCTAGACCCCTTACAACTTTCCAGGAAGCTTTGCTTTGCTTAGCTTTGTGGTGGGGCATAAAGCCTATGGAGGTTTCAAAAGTGCAGGGCAAAAGCCCCTGAAGCAGTGGAATGCATATGCACGCCTCCAGGCATTCCCCTCACAGGCTGAATTCATCAACCCATATGAGCAACGGTCAAATTTATGTATGTATCTATAGATAGATAGATACATACACACATACATATATATATATATATATACATACCAATAAACACACACATATAAATATACATAACTATAAATCGCTGTACTGTGTTCAAGGGTTGAACGCAGGTCACGTCACTTCGAACCAGCCGGCGCTCCTTTTTGTGCGGTTTGGCTCCTTTTTGTGCGATATAGGGCAACGAACGCAGTTGCCCCCCCCCCCCCCCGCCAGGCCTCGGAAGACGTCAGTGCTGCAGCCCCAAGCAGCTCTTAAACAGTGTGTGCCCATTATATATATATATATATTTGTTTATTTATTTATCGTCTGGGATATATATATATATACATATATGTAGTACACGTGCTATCGTCATCTACGGTAAACCGAAGGACATTTTGACTCACCAACCTTAGCATTAGGTTTACTCACAAAGCCAATGTCAGATGACATGATACATATTGACCACGGGCTTTGCTTTCAGATGGGCTGGTTCATTTCCCCATGTGTTTTGGGCAGATCTTGCTTTGAGCGGATTCTGAGGTAATCATGAGTTGTGAGGGCAACCATGGCAACCCTTTGGGTTGGTGTAATGGGAAGGCAATCGGAGGACCGCCACTTTTCGGGCTCCCTTATTTTGAGCTTCAGGGGGGCTTCTGGGCGAAGGAGCTCATTGGGATCCGAACTTATTCACGAGTGACTCCGTTTTGTATGTTGGATTCGTCAAACATCCAGCTGCCCCCTCATGATTTTTGTGGGGGATTGCGACATGATGCGCGTGTGTTGTGCCGGATCCGCTGGGGTCTGCGGGTTTTTATCCCTGGCTTGGTCACAGTGGAGCTGCAGACCTGAGCAACCGCATCACCCACCAAGCCAATGAGTCGCTTTACCTGGGGCCGCTGTTGCACTTCACCGTCGGCTAAACGGCAGCATGTAACATGTCTAGCTTCGCTAAAAAATCGACTGGAGCCTTTGTGTTCCTGAAGAAAAGGGGGTGTTTGCTTCCATGATTAAGCAAGGGGTAACTAATACATGTAACGGCCACCCAGCATCAATAAATCCTAAAGATTGGATTCCAAGAATCCTGGTTGCCCCCCCATCCAACCCAGCATCAATAAATCTCGAAAGATTGGCATGGACTCCAAGAAATCCTGGTTGCCCCTCCTCCCAAAAGGGGTCCCGATTTGTACGGCTCCATCTAGGGGGCTTGCCCTCCTTGCAACGCACTAGCAAATATTTTTTGGTTTCCATTGCAGCAGAGATGGAGTTGGTTTTGTGGTGTTAGGGCCCCAAGTTGCTCGCATAAAAAGCCCGAGCCCTGGAGTGTCCCCGCTCGCTCGCGCAGCTGCCCCTGAAAGCGGCGAGCTTTCGCACCGCCTCCGCCATACAGGCGCGGAGGGGGCAGGCCGCGTTTTAATAGGGGGGATTGGCGTTTTTTTTCTGCGGCGTGTCCGTGGCGGTTTGGCAGGGCTCCTTAAAAGATCTCCTTTTTTGCGTAACCATTTGAAACATGGCTCTGGCTTTTTCAACACCAAAAAAAAGGACACCACCATTGACAAGTTGCAATGTTCAGGTTTATAATGTAAGGATCCCTTTTAAATTAAAAGCGACTCCTGGACACTCAATGGTATTTTGGCTCAGATACATTTTTTTTTTTTGGAGGGGAGGTTTGGGGGGAACTAAAAAGACAAGCACAAAAGCAAAAACAGCAACCTCAGGAGCAACAGCACTTTAAAGATAAATAGCACATAATAATAATCGAACACAGAATAGAAGCACAGGCAACGATTTAACAACCGACTAACATGTAACAACTGAGCAGAAATCCGTTGGAGTTCTGTACCTCCGAGAAATTGGATGTGGATTCCGAATCTGTGGATCCACCCCTGCAGGACATTAAAGCGTACTAAGCGATTACTAAAAAAGGACCAATAGAGGAAGAACAGCTGACATCCAAAACCAAAGTGTGTTTGCGCCAGTTCTGCCGGACGGGGATACGAAGTTCTCTTCAGATCCTTCTGCCGATCTGATGATCGGCGAAAACCGTGAAAAAACCGGCCAACGGCCCAAGTTTGGGACGGCTCCAAACCACCAATTGGAGGGAAGCTGATTATGGGACTTGGGGCGGGCGCTGGTCACGGCATTTTCTGAAGCCTTGTCGAAGCACTCTGCAGCCTCACTGGAAAATGTGCAATTGCCCATTTGGCGTCGGTGTTTTTTTGAAAGTATCCCTTTCAGGTTGCTCACCAGGGAACCCCAAGGACAACCGCCCTTGATTGAAATACCCCGACTTTTGCACACAGACGCACACACAAGCTTTCACCCTCCCAACCCCTGACCAAACCTGCATTTGAGGCTTGTTCAATCCCGGAAGCGTTGTGTTGTGCCTGTTTGCAAGCAAGCCCGCGGATGCAGCTCATTTGGTGCCCATCTGCAAACACAGGTAGCAGGATTTCATGTTCCCTGGTTTTCGGTCGCAGGCCCCTTTAAACAAGGACGTAATCATCCTTTTGGGCAAGCAGAGGTTCCATGATTAAAGCATGCAGCGTTCCCTTTGTTGAATATTGGGACGAGATACACCGTGGCAGCAGGGTTCCGAAGGTGAATCGGATGTTGTTTGGGGGAATCCGTTTTCAGTTTCTGCTTCTCTATGGTGTGCGTCTTTTCTGTGCGTTGCTTTTTCAGCCGAGTGTGTTTTCCGGTTTCCTTCAGAGCTCCTAAAACCCCCGCGCCACCTAGGAGCAGGTGCGCAACCTGAGCAAAGGCTCGCGGGGCTCCGCAGCACGCAACCTCAGCAAGGGCTCGTCGAGTGGGAGGAGCACCAAGGCATGGGTCCTGGACGGGGGGATTTGGGGATTTGGCTGATCAAAACCAATGGTACCATTTTGGTTGGTAGGTGAATTCACCACCCGTTTTAGAACCTATTTTAGTGGTTGGATTGAGTCGAATGTTCACTGGGGGTACGGGCTTTGGGATTTTGACCCATGGCCATTTCACGCCCACTTGGCGGATCTGGGCGGGCGAATCGCCAGCCGGGTGTGCCTTTTTTGGAGGCACCCCTCTTTTTGTTGTGGTTTCAAAGGGAGACCAACAGGACAACCACAATTTTGGGAGGGGGGGGTCCATCAAAAAGGCACCCGGCTAGATTTTGGAAGCAAAGCGCTTTCCCATTCCTACGAACTCTCAGACTTTTCGTTAAGCGACCCAGAAAACAGGATGGGAGGGGAACCCTTTGAAAAAGAGAATTGGCCAGCATGTATCCTTTAAGGAACCCTGCAAACCCCCACTTGGCTGTTTTCGGAGGTTAAACCCCAGATTCTGCTTTTGGTCGCATACCTGGGGCCAGCCTGGTTTTAACCCACTTAGGAGACTTATAGCCATGGCAAAGTGGCTTATAACCAAGCTTACCCACCACTGACTAAGTACAATGCTCTAGGATCCATGCCGAGGTTTTCTCATAGCCATGCTGCTGCCGCTCCCTTTTGGTTGGCAAAAGAGAAAGCAACAGGAAGCCAACCCTTTTGGGGGGGGGGCGCTATTGAGAGAGAAACCGGTAGGAAGTACCGCTGCTGGTCTTGGGCGGTCTGCGCAGACGCAAATTGCCATGGGGTTGGCCTCGCGAAGCCAAAGACGCAATCGCGGGCGAGTAAGGGACCCCATGCCAACAGCTGAGGAATGCAGACATCCCAACCAAAGTGAGTAACAACCAGTCAGCAAATGAGACCCTGGGAAGTCTGAGACCCCCTCTTTTTGATTGTGACACCAGCTTTTTTTGGGAAATCTCCGAATGCTGACTGTACCATTGCTTGGGTGTGGAAACTGACCGCTACTCACTATAAATAGGAAGGGTTGGCCTACCCACAACAGCATTGGTACAGGGTTCGCCTAGTCAGAAACTCGCTTTCTCCAAATGCCCTAGCCACGTTCAGCTCTCACTCTATTGCCCTTTTTTGGTAGTTGTCTATGTCCATTTGGGGGGACGGCTCAGTGTGAGTGTGTGTTTGTGGGTGTGTTTGTTTTGAGGGTACCCTGTTTTTAAAGGCTGCTTTTGAAAGGCAATACGGCGGAACACCACAACCGCCATTATGCAAGGTCCCCTGACGTTGACACATATCTAACATACTGTGGGTGGACGAAATCATGCACCACTTTGAAACCATAGCAAACCATTGTTTGTTGGTATTTACAGGGGCAGCATCACCCCAAGGTTTTTTGGGTGGTGCAGGATTTCGTCCATCCACAGTAGGCACGCCCTTTTGCCGTTGTTTCCATAACAAATTCGGCGTGCAGGCGTGGCAGGAGGTTCGCCCAGAAGAGGCGCGCAGAGATGCCTTGCACAACTTAATGTTAACCCCGGATTGATAAACCCCCGGTTGATTAATAGGGGGGTGTCCCCTTTTAGTGGCGATTCATCACTTTTGAAGGGAACATCCCCCTTACAATGGGACGGGTTTATCAATCCTGGGTCAACATTAACAGGAACTAAACTGACTTTTGTCACTCCACTGGCGCAACGCAACCAGCAGAAAATGAACTGGCTATCGCAACGCAAACTCAGAAACTAAAACCAACTGGTATAACTCAGCATACAGAAGCTGAATTGACTTGTCAATGCTGAATTGACTTGGGAATGACGTAGCCATGCTGGAAGATGCCCCTCTAACCTCCAAAGCCCGCATCCAAATCATCAATTGGGGGGACGCTGATTCTGGAATGAGCTTCACCTCAAAAGTGGTGGGCATGAATATCCCTCGAAGTCTGCTCTCCACAGGGCCCGAGACCCATTCAAATTCACGGTAGCCCGGTCCTCAAAGATGACCAACCCCCGGGTAGAAAGAAATGGAGCGGGCGGTGAACAAGTCATTTTTATGCGGCCAACTTATCCAAATCCGTGGGCAGTTTGTTTTGGGATGCATCAGCTTCTACCGGCACCTCTTTCAAGTTAGATGGGCAGCCGATGCATTGTTGGCAACGCTGTCCAGCAAAACAGTGGCTCCCTATATTGCCCGTTTAGGCATAATTTTGGTGGCCTTTTTTACACATGTTCCTTCAGATTTGTCCATGATTCATTTGGGTTTGTGTCAACATGGGAAATTGGACCCCAAAAACAGACTTCGGCGCGCCGTTTGGTTTCTTCCCTCTAAACCAACCTCAGAAAATCCTTAAGGTGGACCCTCTCATTCGCCCCCTTCGGGCATGGCAAGTTTGACTTCCAAAAGGGTAGCACCAAAAGAAAAAAGAAACAGGGCATAATTTGGGGGCGCGATAGCACGGTCTGAAAACTTGGGATCGTGGAGTTCGTGGTACTCTGCTGGGGATCGTGGAGTTCGTGGTACTCTGGTGCCTCTTGGTGGCGAAGCCAGCCATCCCCTTAGCCTTTTAGCGTTTTAGTGTTTAGTGGGAATTTCCATTTAACCCACTAAAAGTTAAGCTTTTTGCGGGGGATCTGAGGGCAGCCCAGCTTCAACTATCCTGAAAAGATAGCTCCCAGCTCTGGTTTGGAAAAACCAAGGTTTGCCCGGAGAAGCTTCACCCCTTTTGGGGGGTTTGTCTGGTAGCATAGGGACAAGCACCCATGAGCTTCCTAGCCTACCTGTTGAGTTGCCATCTAGCTTCAGTCGGCGGCACGTTATGTTCCCAGTCAACCCATCTCGGCGGGTACGGAAATACCGGGGTCTGGGTGAAACGAAGAAACCCTTCGTTTTCCAACAAAAAAAACCCTCGGTTTGAGTCATTTGGATGAAACTTGGGGTAACCTCTGACCGGATCTGGCCTTTCAGTCTCCCCATAGCTTACCACGCAGAAAACATGCAAACAACATTCTAGGGATTGTTTCCAGGGATCCTTCTTTTCAGAAAACCAGCAACAACTCGGGGGGACACAGCCGGTTTTTGAAAGAACGATGGTTGAAAAGAATGGGGAATCAACCCCTAGAAACATTGGTGTGGGTCAATATTAAAATACCAGGGGACCGCAGATTTTAGTCCATGTTTCCATTTACCAGGACAAGCCATTTTGGGGTTTCCCTATTTGACCACAGCCACATGGGTGTTGAAACGGCAAGAACACGACTTCATGGCGGCTCCGTCAGTCGCTGCCGGGCTTTCCGCTGCTGATTCCCAGCTTGGGCCTCAGCGGAAGCCGGGGGTTTGAGGAACGAAGTGGCGGACTTGGACTGTTTTTTTTTTTGTGCTGAAAGTCACTCCTTACTTCCATTTGCTTAAGAATATGTGTTTTTTTGGTTTAATATATTTTATTTTCCCCTGTTGGTTTTAAAGTTGGAATCTATCACTACTGGACATACTGTTTTTTTGGTTTTGCCAGGGGTCTTGACCAAATGGAAGCTTGAGTTTCTGGACTTTAGACACTTTTTGGGTTTGGACCATGTTAGTGGCTACGTCCCCCAAGCTAGTTGCCCTTTCTTATTAAGATTTTTGGTTGGGAGGGTTCCCCCACTAAAATGGACTACAGAAAAAACAAGTACCCTTATTCTAACCTTTTGACTGGAGGACCTAGAAACTCACTTCCTGAGTTCCTGGACTTTGTTTTTTTTGGTTTAGACCATTTTAGTGGTGAATTAAAAGTTCAGACATGATTTGGCCAGTCCACCCAGAAAAGTAAGTAAAAGGAACCTAACAGAAACCCAGCCACTAAAACGTTTTAGGACAGGCCCCAAATATTGAACGAACACCAAGCATAATCCATTGCTACACGGGTTCAGCGCGTGTTCGACTGGCCTACCACATCATGTCTTGGTTTGGACTCCATGCGTGAGCTATTCATGAAACGTGTGGCGTGCGATTGGGCTTCAGCTCTGATTAGTAAAGGGCCCACCCCCTTCAAGGTCGAGAAGGTTTGCACAAACCCACAACAGATTTCTGTTGGCCATCTTACCTCTGGCCCTTCCCAGCCAATTGAACTGGAAAGCTGGAGAACCGAGGGCTGGCCTCTAGGCAGGGTCGCCTTTCTGATCTTGAACGCTGTCATGTTAAACCAATGTTACTCAGACAAATACATGTTGCGGGACGCGCATTCTTTTGGGGACAACTTGAGAGGTTGGGACAACTTGAGAGGTTTATACCATGGTGGCTTAGCATTTGTGGGTTTAAGCGCAGACTACATAAGCAAATGCAAAGCACAAAGGGAAGGCCCAATTCCGGCTGGCTTTTTGGGTTGGGGCTGCAGGGGGGTCGAGGGGTGTACCCTTTATCGGGGGGGGGGGGCAAACAATAATTGGGTAGGTTTTGTTGAGCAAGCCTTGCTGGCCCTTTGCTTTAGGATTGGGGAGGCGAAAGGGGAAACCTTTAATCCCGGGGTGTTAAGCTTGAGCTAGTCCGGGGGAGGATGCGCGTCTTAGTAATACTGCTAAGATGTGGTGTGTGACGGACTCTTGCGGATAAATCTGGATGAATTCATGGTTGACTTTTGCACACGTGCAGGTACGGAGAAGCGATCAAAGAGCCTGAGTCGGGTGCCTAGTGCGTCTTCATCTATCTCCCGTCAAGATGTCAAGATAGGGGTGAGATGTTTCCTCAGATGAGCTGTCGAAATCAGGGCTACGTTGTCGTCAAGCTGTTTTCCTTCTAATTGGGAGATCATCAGACATGGTTTTTCCCCAGCAAAAGAACCAAGGGATCGCACAACCCCTGACCATGTCCCCACTAAGTATGCCTAAATGGAGAGGTGGTCAACAAAGACGGGCCTGAAAGGATACTTTCGGGTCATTGGCCCAAGTATCAACGGATGTTGCTTGACCCCTCGTCAAGCAGGTGGTTGTGCAAATCGGACTCCCATACGTTTCCCGGGATTGGAGGTGTGCCAACCATATGGGGATCCTTTTAGGGAACCCAAAATTGTCCACCTGGGCTGGGAGTGGACTCCACAGTTGAGGAAGGGCGAGGGTGTGTTGTTTTAGCGGACCCCAAAATTGCTTCGGTTGTCCTTTGGGTTCTCCTTTAGAACCTGGTTTTACCCCCACATCGGTGGGCCTGTGGCGATTTGCAAATAACTACTCATTCCATGGCCCCCCCCCCCAACCCGTTGTTGGCAATTTTAGTCGTTGGTTCTACTACCTGGCTCAATGAGGTTCTCACTTGCCCCAAGTGAATCGACCTTTTTTTCCATTTGCTGAAGTTAATATTTGCTATTTTCTCCCGTTATGTTTTTAAGGGAATCTGTGACTGAGGGTATGATTCGCGGTCTTGTTCGGTGATGCGTGGCATGGTTCGGGAGAATGATTCGCCCAGGTCGAACTTCCATCCTTTACTAAACCTTGCGCACCGAAAAATAATAATACTAATAATAATAATAATAGCACCCCAAAAAACAACGTAAAGAAACGCACACTCATTTTTTTCTCGGGGGCCCAAGCAAACGGTTTTGGGTTTCCCCCCCGTGGCTCGTGGCGCAAGCTCAGGCACCAGAAGCACCGCCAGGAGCACCGCGGAGAGTCTCAAGCGCCCGGCGCCCAGGGCGGTCATGGGGGGCTGGGGGGGAGGGAGGGGAGGGGGGGGGGGAGCCCAAATCAGCCCTTACTAAGCCCCTAATAAGGCCTTATTTGGGGCTTATTGGGGCTTATTGGGGCTCCCTCCCCCCCAGCCCTCATGAGTAAGGGACCCCAAGAAGACCTGAGTCACTTGCTCAAAGCCCGGGTAGAAGGTTAGTAACGGGCAATCCCAACCAAAAATGGTTGCGGATATCCGCCTTCTTAATCCTTTACACGGTTTTGGGTAGACCGTTTTACGGCCGGGTGTGATTGTGACCCACCTGGAAAAATGAAGGACCTGAGTCTTTCTTGCAACCTACTTTTAAATTCAGCAGCACCAAAAAACCAAGGCAACAAAAACCCGACTCCTTCTTGCGGCCTGCTGAAAAAAACAGAACCAACAAACAAAACCAGAACAGCTAAACACTTGCCTGGGTGGTCCTCAGTGCTCGGAAACAACAGGGGAGTTTAAGCACAGGGTGTTGGGAAAAAGGTGTGAATTTTGAAACCAAAAGACACACCACAAAGCCCGCCGAAACGGGACGTTCTTGCTTGCTGGCTGGCTGGCTTGCTCGCTTGCTCGGGTGCTGGGTTTCTCAGTTGCTCGGTTGCCAGGCTGCCTGGCTTCTCGGTTGCTCGGTGGCTGGGTTGCTCGTTTGCTCGTTTGCTCTGTTGCTCGATTGCTTGGTTGCTTGGCTGGGTTGGTTGCTTGGTTCCTGGCCGCCTGCCTGCTGCTGCCACTTCCAGTTCTAGCGCTGCTTCTGCAGATGCTACTTCCTCTACTGCTGTTGCTTTGAGGCTTGTCCTTGCTGCTGCTGCCACTGTTTCTGGCACTGCAACGACAACTTGCTGTTGCAAGGGCTTACAGCTACTACCTGGATACTGGTGCTGCTACTAGGGCAAGCACTTGCTGTTGCGCTATTGGTGGCTGCGTGCTGACGGCCACAACCGACGCGGCCAACATGCACAGGACAAAGGCTGTGGCAGTCAACACTTTCGACTTGCAAATTGCCACACGTTGAGCCCCACAGTCGCAGCACCCCACGGTCTTTGTCGCTGAGCCGCTGATGAAAGAAATGCTATGGCTCAAATCAAATGGCAAGGTGGCCCGTGCTTGGGAAATCAAGTTGGTTTTTCATTTGACTCACACACAAGGGGGAGTTACAGCAACCAATCATTTCAAGCTTGATTTGCTTTTCGTCTTTGCTTTTGAGGCCGTTTAATGTGATTGAGTTTTTTTTTTTTTTTTCCCGGTGGGGCGAGGTTTAACTGATGGCTGGCAGCTGGGTCACTCCACCTCAGGTCGCATGATGAAATAAGGTGAAACGGCCATGGGTCAAAACCGTTTTGGATCCCATTTTTGGGTAGGTGAATTCACCACCCATTTTAGTCGGGATTTTAATGAATATTGGGATGTTCACTGGGGTACGGGGTTTTGACCCATAGCAAAATTTTGGAGCCTTATGCAATCTCATGATTTGCCACTTGGTCAGCAAGGAGCCGTGGACAGCGTGGGGACAAACTCTGGTGGCACAGGCAGGGCAGGTAGTGCAGGGTTAGTTCAGGTGGTGTGTCCTGCTCACAATCAAAGTGGGGGGGAAACCATGAAAGAGACATGTATTTGATTTTATGTTTTTTTCTTTGGGGACTGGATAAGTGGACCCAGACAGGGGACCGGCCCGACTTCTCTCGGCCCAATCCTTCTAGGGTTACCTTCCCCATTCTTTCCAGGGATCCTTCTTTTAAGAAAGCCATCAAAAACCCAGGGGAAACAGCCGGTTCTTGAAAGGAACGATGGTTGAAAAGAACGGAAGAGGAGTCAACCCCTAGAATCATGGGGTTCCGCCGTTCCGCCATGTGCCTTTTCCTCTTTTGGTGGGGGCACCCGTTCATATTCTTCTTCTTCGTCTTTTTTTGGTTGTTTTGGGGGGGTGATGGCGCTCCCATGTTTGAAGCTCCTGGTTTCCCCAGGTGAGCCCGGTTTTCTTGAGGGGAGTTGAAGTGGTTTCACTTTTAGACCTGAAAAGCCAGGGGTTGAAACCCCATCAATCCTAACCAGCCAGGGTGACCTGAGCGGTGAATTGCTTTCAGTTTCAACAGTTTTTCTTTGGAGAGGGGAAACCCCTGTTCAATCAACCACCCCAAAAAAGTGTGCCCTTATTCACCTGGGGTCCGGGAAACTAGCCCCCCCCCCAATCAAAAAGAAAGTGTGCATCCTTCAAAATAATCGCACAGAGGGATACCCTAAGAAACGTTGGCTGCAAGGGTGGAGAGAGCAAACGCAAAAAAACTAACCGGCACAGCCATGTATTTTATGCAGTGTCCTGCCGTTGAGAGGATCATTCATGGCATGCAGGTTTCAAGAAATTCGGCAGGTTGTTTGAATATGCGGGACAAATATCAGCTTCCATCATTAAATCGGCGGCTTGGATCGGCGATTTGGTGGCCAAAGAGGGGTTCCCAGTTTATTTCTACAAGCTGCTCTTTTCCTGTTGGTTATTAAACAGTGCTCCCCGTGGTTGCCTAGACAAGTAAATGGATCCACTGGGTCCCAAATGAATCAGATCGGTTCAGCTACGAACGAATGGGCTTGGCGGGACGTTACCTTTTCTTCGGGTCCACCTTGGTGGTTTGCTATAGCTTGCCTGGCATCCGCCGTCGAAAAAAATATGTTTTTCACGGTTCCTTTTCTAGGCCCCCCAGTGCCCTTTCTCACCCCTTTTTTTGGGGGGAGGGTTCGGGACACTAAAATAGACTACAGAAACAAGTTGGTACCCTTATTCTAACCAATCTACTGGACCTAGTTTTGTTGCGACCACGTTTGTTTCACCCGAGCCCAGGGACCATCAATTGAATTGGTAGGTCCCTCCGCGGACGGCAAGAGTCCTTGGTCACCTGGGACCAGCCTCTCGGACCCGCGCAAAAGTTTAACCTGGCACTATTTTCTGGCGAGCTCACCGATTTGGAGGTAGAACGAGCTCACCATGACAAAGGTCCGTTGCCTAGATGCCTTAAATTGTCTTTTGGAATTATAGCACAATTTGCAGATGTATGTATGGATGTATGGTATGTATAAAGGGTATGTACCTGTATGCATTCCATTTTCTCTTGTAATCCATAATGAAATCGCAATCCGTTGGGTTTGTTTTCCCTTGTCGTGGCAAGCCGGATCACTTTTGCAGGTGACACCACCATTCTAGGATGAAATCCGGGCTTGCCGAATCGAACAAAATCAAACAAAAAAGCCCTGTCTTGCCAAACAAGTGCCCGAGGTGTTTTTGGGGCCTTGAAGTGTGGAACCAGGTCGCTGTGATGAGTTCGCGCCCTCCTGTCGCTCGCGGGGTTCCGTTGACAACTTCCCCCCCTTGGCGATTTGTTCCTTTTTTGCGGTCCCTTTGTTTTCCACTAACCAAGCAAGAAAGATATTTTTGGCTGAGGTCCTAATTCCAGCCTAGACACTGGGTTTTCTTTGTTGCCCTTTGAACGATTTTCTAGCTGGTGGTTGCAAGGGAGTTCCAAACCACTACTCAAAACCACTAATTGGAGAGAAGCTGAGAGTGATTCATTCGCACTTGCGAGACCTCTGCGGCTGAAGCAAAGCCAGCACCTGGAGTCCCCAGTGAGACACATCCGGAGGACTATCCTTCAAACATGCACATGTTTAATGCTGGGCCAATTGCCGAAACACTATCACGTCGGCCCATTAGGCCCCTTGTGCGAGGGTGGCAAAGTCCATTCTCCTACGCTGATTCAGAGGCATGGCAAGGGCCAGAATACAAACCCTTCATGGCTCTGAGGCAATATTGTATCTAAGGCCTCAGTTGCTTCAGTGACCACCTGGCAAAACCACCCAGTTTCATAGCACCCAAGCACCCGCACACTCCGCTAACCCCCGCTTCCCCACGCTCTCTTCCAATAAGACTAGTAGTGGTAGTCAACGAACGGACTTGGGTGTGTTCTGTTGGGTACTTTCGCCGCCAGCGGACATGGGAGACACACTTGGGAGCCTGTAGCCTTTGTCATAGCAATGTGCACCACTTGTCTTGCAAACGACCCGTGCCTTTGGTTGTTGTTTCTTTTCTCGGGCGCGATTCAAACCCGGCATGCCGCAAATCACCCAATTCCATGTTTCGGATCCCTTTTGCAATGCTGGGTCCGGCTGATCATTTCTGAAGGTCCCTCGAAAAAAGACAGGATTTGCCTATTGAACCCCTCGATGTTTCTCGTTTTGCGGGTGCCTTGCCCGAAGAGCCGAGGTCGTAGCTTCTCCAAATCGAGCAAAGACGCCGCCGGGCTGCAGGGCGCAATCTTGACTGCTATTGGGTTGGATCTTTAGACTTTAACTTTTTGGGAAACCAAGGGGTCAGCAGCAATCAAGGAATGAATCAAGCCGGTTTGTGGGAAGGACCCATTGGTTTTTTGACCCTGCGCTGCAAAAGATGGTGCGTGCGGTTAAAACTGTTTCGGAGGTTCCCTACCAAGGAAACCCAAAGGAAATGTGTTTTTTCCCCAGCAGCTGACGGCTTTGAGGTCTCAGCCCAGATAGGCTCCGGGGTGGTCCGGGGCGGCCCTGAGGTAAGGTTCCACGAGGGTTCCACCAGGGTTCCACCAGGTTCCACGAGGTTCTGCGAGGGCTGCGGGATGCCGCATGCTGTTGGGGATATCACCTGAGCTTATTCTCTCTGGGCCTCTCTAAGTCTAATATGACACTCAAATTAGGGTCAACACAGATTCAAGGTGCATGCCAAGCGACGCGAACAGCTGAGGCCGTGATCATTTTCGAGCCTCGGCGAAAACCCGCCTCAGCCGGGTTGAAGGAACCTGTTGGTCGCGGATTCTTTTGAACAAGGTCCCCCAACGGATACATTTGAGAGCCTCGTTTTTTGGGGACCCCCTCCAAAAAATGATAATGGCTGGAATCCTGTTGGATTCCCCTTGGTGAAACAAGCCAACCAAAAAGGGGGTTTCTTAAAAGAGACACCCAGAACCTGCCGTTCTTGCAAAACAAAAACCTTGCATCGTTGAAGGAAGCCGGTTGAAGCCGCCCGCTTGGCGGAGAGGTTCAAAGAGAACAGGATCCATAGCTTGGGCTTGGGTCTTCTGGAATGGGATGCTTTATGAAGCCTGGGGAGGGAGGGTCTGGGAGAGGAGGCCCAAGGTCCCCCAGCTAGGTGCCCTTTCTCACCCCTTTCTTGGGGGAGGGACCCTACTAAAATAGACTGCAGAAACAAGGGGGCCCTTACTTTAACCTCTCTGCTGGAGGACCCAGCCAAATTACCTTGTGTTAAGCCCTTAAGGCCGTATTGAGGCTCCCTCCCCCGCCCATCCTCCCTCCCCACAGGCAGTGTGAGGGATGGTGGTAAATGGAATCTACTGGGGAAGGTGTCACCACGCCCTCTTTGAACATGCTTTCCAAACCATCTTCTCGCGGGAGTTGGCGATTGGCATTGGGTTTTTGGATGATTTCGCATGGGTTTCTGGCTGATCCCCCTCCATTCCTTTCAACCATCGTTTCTGTTCAATCACCGGATCCGTTTTCCCTGGGTTTCCGAAGGTTTTCTAAAAGGATCCGGATCCCTGGGTTCAGAATGGAAATGGAAGGTACCCGTAGAGGGTTGTGGTGACCACCTTGTCAGCCGCTCACATCACCTTCGGCGCAAACGTGTCGAACGGTTTGCGCCGGCAAACGGTCTGCTGTCAATGACCCATGTTTTTTTGGAGGTGAAGAACTTGAATCCCGTCTCACGCGCGCGAAAGCGTCAAGAGTTTCTTCCATTTGCTGATGAGCGTATTAAGTTATTTTCCCCTGTTGGTTTTAAAGCTGTTTTTTCGATTGCGCTACTATAAACCCATTTTTCTCATGTTGTCCAGGGGGCCAAAAAGCAAATGGAGGAAGAGGTTACCTCCAATGGATGGTTTGGATTGGTGGTTGAACTGGATTTGGATTTGAACCATTTCCTGGTTCTTGTACAGGGTAAATGGGAAACTACCACTCAAACAAAAAAAAGCAAATGGATGTCTCGGGTCAACCGGTGCGCAATTTGGTTCGCAACCAGCCTGGCCCACAACGCTAAGCTGGACGCTTGCGGCTGAGGATTGGGATGACACGCTCTGCCCGACCAGCTGGGCCCTGGAACAGATCCGGAACTGCCCAGACACCGCCGCACTGCTCGAGGCCGAGAAGCGCCCCGGCGTGGTTTTGCTTTTTGTGAAATGGATCTTGCCGGGGGGGGGTGATGGGGGGAGGGGGGGGGTGGCCAAGAAAAAAAGACGGGGAACGGACAGGGCCAAAAGTTGGCAGGGGGATCGCTTCTCCTTTCGTTTGCGTTTCGCCCTAAGCTTACCTCTGAACAACACATCTTTTCGTAACTCTTTGGGCAACATGGGCTAAAAATGTCTGTAAAAGGCTTTTCGTAACTCTTTGGGTAAGATGGGCTATATGTCTGTAGATGAAAACTTCCCCAAGCCTTGGAGTTTTAAGGTTGAAGTCAGGGCGGCAGACTGACGTTGCAAGGGGCCGGGGAGAGCAACTAATGTCAACCCCGGATGAATAAACCCCTGGTGGATTAGTAGGGGGTGCCCCCTTTTAGTGGGGGTTTAGCACTTTTGGAGGGAACACCCCCCTAATGATGGGACAGGTTTGTTAGTCCTGGGTCAACATTAGCTCGGATCTGTTAGGGAGCTGGGGGTATCCAAATTCCTGCTGCAACAGGGAGCTCTCCGGAATTCTGGTTAGGAACATGCCTGGGGCTCGGAACGTCGGAACGGCCAATTCTTGCTGAGAGTTCACCAAACAACCTTTTCCCTTCAAACATTTTTTTGTCCATTCAATTTGGTTGTTTGGGAAACAAACAAGAACTAGGTGCCCCAGTAGTGCCCTTCTCTCCTCTTTTTTGGTGGAGGGTTCCCCTACTAAAATAGACTACAGGAAAAAAATCGGGAACCAACTTATTCTAACCTCGCTACTGGAGGACCTAGACAAGAAGGATAGGCCCCAGGTCGTAGTTGAGGTTGGTTTGAAGCCCTCGTGTTTGACCCAAGCTGAAAAGTGATCTGGTGCCAAGCCTTTCAAGTGGGGACACCAGTCGGCAGCTACGCCTCCTTGGCACCAGGAACGGAACTTGACTGCTATTGGGTTGGATCTTTAGACTTTAACTTTTTGGTTGAAGTCAAGGGGATTTCCACTAAACCCCCAAAAAGTTAGTTAAACATTTTGCAGGGGGGTCAACGGCAACCCAGGCAAATACCATGCAAAACGCAAGCACATTCTGACTAAACACAAATAGGTCGCCTATAGAAATGAGGGAACCTATTTGAACTAAACCCCCTTTTCCCCAGAGGGTCCCTAACTGTCTGACTCGACCAACTGCGCCCAGATGCTCCAACTTTCTAGCTGGACCAATGTTGCGCTTTTGCGCTTAGGCTTGTTCTTTCCCCTCGCACATTGAAGACCATGTTCGACCTGCTCTGTCTTACTCCAGATGTAGAGAGTCAATGTGGCTGGGTCATTTTTTTTTGGCAGGAGCTTCCTTCTTTTGTGGTTCTAAAAGCAAACCGAGTGGCAAAACCACCATCTTGCGTGTTTGAAAACAGATGCGCCAAGTGGTGTCTGGTCTTCAATTCTAGCCAGGTCCAATATGAATTCACGCGCCAAAGGAAGTGGACCAAAGGAAGCGTCTCCCTCTTCAAGGAAAGTGAGAAGCCGCACTTTTCGCCCGTCGTCGTGTAATCTTTGGTGCATTTTGCTTGGATGTTAGAACTTAGAACTTTAACTTTTTGCCAACTAATGAGTTTTCTATTAAACCACTAGTTAAACTTTTAGCAGGGGAGCAGAAAGCATCCGAGTAATTTTGCAAGACTTCGATTCCGAGTGGTTTTCGCCGAAGGAGCGAAACCCATTCATTCGGAACTTGCTCCCATGGGTTTCCTTGCCTTCCCCCTGCAGATGTTTGACACACCAATCAACAAGATATGCCGGTGACAAACAACAAGGGGGGTTTAGCCCAATGCTTTTTCTCAACCAGTTTTGCTTTCTCAAGCACCCAACCGTCATGGAGGGCGCTTGGAAGTTGGGTTTGTCTCAAATGGGAAGCGCACATGATTGGTGTGAATTTTTGTTTCTTTAAGACCATCCAACAGTATGGTACCTTCAAATTCTTCCATTTGCTGACATGAACATATTTTGTTACTTTCCCCTGTTGGTGTTGAAGGGAATCGATTTCACTACTGGACGCATATGGCTGTGGCTCAAAATTAAACAGGAGGGGTTGCGCAGGTTTTGGTGAATGTTTCCACTCGCCTGAATTTTATTTTGGCTCAAGTTGTTTGACCCACAGCCAAATGACTATGTTGTTTTCCCCTGTTGGTTTTTGAAGGGAACCGATTTCACTACAGGACACGCATGTCTGTGGGTCAAAACCGATGGTACCATTTTGGGGTAAGTGCACCACCCAGTTTAGAACCTATTTTAGTGGGGATTTGGATGTTCACTGGGGGTACGGTTTGTTTTTTTTTTTTTTTCCAGGGGCTTAGTCGCAAGTGGAGGAATTTTGTTGGTTGCCCCCTGCTGAGGGCCCACACTGAGCAGCTGGACGCGCCCCTTGGGAAAGAGAGAAAATGAGACGGATCACACGTCCTGGGGCTGTTTTCAAGCTTCGGGGCTCACCATTTGCAGAAACACCTTCCCCAATCTCAGAAGCCCTAAATTTTCATTTGGTTAAGTTTGTTTTTGTTTTTTTTATTACTATTTTCCCCTGTTGGTTTCAAAGGGAATCGATTTCACTATGGACATATTTCTCATTTTGTTTCCATTGGGGTTAATTAAGCAAATGGCTGTTTTCAGGGCGGGGGGCGGCCTCGAGGGGTTATGGAGGATTGGCCAAGACTCGGGATGGGTGTGGCTTCAAAATGAGACAGACTTTCAGACCTGGGGAGGCGTGAGACTCCTCATTTCCGATTTGTGCCCCTGAGGGAAGCTTTGCTTTGTTGCATTTTGCTTGGATATTAGGACTTTAACTTTTTGCCAACTAATTGGTTTTCCATTTAACCACAAACAGTTGAATTTTGAGCAGGCGAGCAGAAAGCAACCGAGTTTGCTTGCTTGCAGATCAAACCGGAAGCGTTGACACAATGCACTTGCAGAAGTGTTCTTGGCCGGTCTTTCCCCTTCTGTCTGATCAGCGGGAAGTTAAATGCCCCCTTGATGGATTGGCTGCGACTGACCCTCAGGAAAGCATGACATACCCCTTTCCTTGCCAGTCCGTTGCGACCCACTGCCCAGGTCAATTTGCCTGCTTGCGGAAGTCTGGAATTGTGGACGCCCGCCCGACTTCCTCAAAACCAGGTAGGTGGTCGATCTTCCTGGGACATATGGGCGTGTCTTTGTCAAAACCCCCCCCCCTTCGGCCCCCCCCCTTTTTTTGGTGATGTTGTTTTTCCCCCAACAGCTGAAAGCTTTGGGGTCTCAGCCCAGATAGGCTGCAGGCTCACTGCTATTGACTTGCATCACCTTAGATCTTCAGACTGCAACTTTTTGGACACCCCTCATATTTCTTTTTGACCCGCAAAAAGCTAAGTCACTTTTGGCTGGGGGGAGTTTTCCAGCACGCCCTACTCCCAGGCATGCCGCGGCGGTGGTGGCGCTACTGCGGGCGGCTCGCAGTTGCGCCCGCGTGGCGGTGGTGACGTTGGCCACCAAGGTGCGCGCTGGAAGGCTTCTGGCGACTGTGGATTGCCCAAATCCATTTCGCACCACCACAAGTTACCGATTGGGTGCACATGCTGCGTATGATTTCAAAGTCCAAGTCGCACCTTTCAGAAACCCAACGGAATGATGTGATGATTCCCCTGTAAATACCAACAAACGATGTTGTCCCATGGTTTCTTAGGTGGTGCGAACTGGATTCCGGCCATCCACAGTATTGCGCTGAAAAGGTCGCCTCTCTGATGGCGTGTCCAACAAATCATGCGCCTCTGCTTTGCATCCTGACAAGCCGGCAAAGCCACCACCACACTTTGGGGGAAGTAGCATAGTTGTCCTATTTTGACACATACACCCAGCAAGATGATCAAACTGAAGATAGGCCGGTCGGGATTCCTATCCCTGGGCCCCTGGGCCTTGCCATAAGACCGTTGTAGCACGGAAGCTCCGTAGCCGGTTTGTCAAGGTCCCAGATGTGTTGTGCCAGCCCGGCTCGACTCGATGTATAGCAAGCTTCCATTTGCGGAAAAAAACAAAACAATGAATCGCTACTGGAAATCATCGGTTTTGTTTTTGCAGGGGACTCAAGCAAATGGAGTCGAGGCAAGCCATCGTTCCTTTTTTGCTTTGGGGAAAACTCTATGTTTTCCTTGAGGTAGGGGAATCGAACATATTGAAAGGAGCATGTTGGGTTGTTTTCGAACACGCAACTACAACGCAACCGCGCTTTTTGAGGCACACGCTCACACCCTGTCAGTCATTTCGAAGCTGACTGGAGTCTGGGAAAGCAGAATGGGGTTCCTCATTTCTCACTTCGGGGATTGAAGGTTTTAAAGATCTCTTGTTTTCCTGAAACGGGAGCCGGGGGGTTGCCAAAACGGCTTTGGTTTTCAACGTCCTCATGGCTTCCCAGTGCTTCTAGCCTTCTACTTTACTCGCTTCCTGAGTTGCTGGACTTTACACTTTTGGGAAAGGAAAGACCATGTTGGTGGTTAAACAGTTCAGGCTTTTTCGGCCAATCCACTCAAGTGAAAACGAAAATTCCGACCATAGGTGTCTTTTTAGGCTAGTTTGTTTAGACATCGATGGGCGAGCCGCTGGTGTAGATGGGCTTGAGGCCCCATTTGCCAGCAAAACCCATCCATTTGTATCCAAGAGGAGCCTCCCCCCCCCCCCCCGCCCCCACATCCCCAGCGCGCGCGGATTCCTTCCCCCCAGCCCCGGCCCACATGGGCTTCACATCGAGCCCTTCCTCCTTGCCCCCGCCGGATGCCTTGCCCCCGCCTGCCGCCCGCCCTCTTGCCCGCCCCGATTCCTTCGCGGCTTCGGAGCGCCTCGGGCGGTTTCGGAACGGCGGTTTCGTCGCCTTCCATGGTTTCGTCGCCTGCCATGGTTTCGTCGCCTGCCATGGTTGCAGTTGGGAAACATTTGACACATGTTTTTTTTTTGCGTATTGCAGTTGAGTGGTGAGTGGTTGAATTTTCCCACCACTTGAAATTCTAGATTATTGGTTTGAGTTTTGTGACCGGCAAATCCCCACTGAACTCTCCACTTCTGGTTTTGCGCTACAACTTCTCAGATTTTTGTTGCTCCCCTTCCGTCCAGCAGCGGTCCGCTTCGGTCCAGGAGTTCTTCACCCAAAGCGCCGAGACCTTTTTGGAGGGCGCCCGCATCAAGGAGCTCTTCCGCGAGCTTGGCGCCGGGGCATTTTTGGAGTCGGAGCGAGCGGAGCTGGGGTGGGGTGGGGTGGAGTGGGGGTGGGTGGGGTGGGGGGGAGGGAAGCGAAGGAGAGAGAGAGTGGTTGGTTTTGGGGAGTGAAGTAAGGGGTCACTAAGGCTGTGTGTGTGTGTTGAATTTGTTTGTTTGTTTTGCTTGAAAGGCAGGCTTTCTTGGATTCCCAACCAGTTCATTACTAGGCGGGTGCTTCTCCATGTCTGGGTTTTAGTGAGCAACCAGACCACTTTTGGAGAGGAACACCCTAGGGTAAACATGACACCAACGGGACAAGAGCTAAGGAACTGCCCCGGCGTTAAAAACCACTGGCCGTTTGAGCATGAACTTTGACAGCCGACCAGGCTTGTTCGACCCTTTTCGACAACCCATCAACAAACTCCAGCGCGTGTTGTGTTTGTTTAGGGTTGCTTTTTTGAATTTTGAAGGGGAAACCAAAGGGCAACCGACCAGTTTGAGATTGTGAGACACACCCAAATCCTTGTTTAGAGACTAACCATCACACACACACACCACAAAACAGGACGACAATATGATGTGCTAGAACTAAGCAGAACTATGGGCGCGTCTCGTTTTCAGGAGACCCGAACCAAGAGCAAACCAACCACTTTGGTCGTAGCATGTTTGGACGTGCAAAGGGGCACCAGAGGGAAACCACAACAACGGTACCATTCTGAGAGCTAGGCTTTTCAAGAGCCATCGACAACTCCATGAGTCCTTTTGGCGGTTTCCACTTTTGGGATTGCCGGAAATTGGGCGCCAACGCCTGTTTTCTTCGACCAGCTCGCTTTGGCAGTCGTCCGGGTGTTCGCAGACAAAAGCGTTGCAGGATTGAAACTTGGACATCATGCGTGCGCTTAAAATTCTGGGCGAGTACAAGATGTTTCCAATGTTTGGTGACTTAACCACGTTTCCCTTAGTTAAGGTTGGCTTAAACCTCCACATTCCTCATGTGTCTTTTGCCTATTTGGTGTTGGGGGCGCAGGCCGAGGCAGGGGAACGTAGGGTAATGCTCGCTGGCTGAGGCATCAAGGTCTACTTCGCAGAGCGAGCCCAGGAGACCAACAAGGCCACCGCACCTTCGGCGAGGTTTGCGTTTGCGGGGCCTGGACTCGGAGAACTTTCTTCAGGCGATCCTTTTCAGGGCTTGGAAGCCAAAAGCAAAGCCGCCCAGTTTTCTTCCCCAGAATGAGCTCCCCTTCGTGAGTTGTTTCGCTTTTTGGGGGTCCCTTTGATTTTGATTCACCAGGCAAACTGGGGTCCTGATTCCAGGCTAGTTTTCGGGGCCCCAACAAACGCTCGGGGACCCCCAGTTTCAGGGACGTGGGGGACACACCAAATGTCAAGCAAGAACCAGGGAATACCACTTTCCCCATGAACCAGAATCAGAACCCGGGCAGGTGGAGATTAGTAAGGAGCAGTCCCAACCAGAATGAGGTGCAGCCGCCTTTGTAGTTCTTTACATTGGTTTGGGTAGACAAGTTGATTCCGAGGCTTTGATTGTGACCCATGTTGCCTTGCGGAAACTAGTAGTTTTGACTGAGGCTCCACCTCCCCATTTCGTCCACCGAGGCTTTCAAATATAGCTTCCGTTGATTCTCACTCCTCTCACTTCCTGAGTTCCTGGGCTTTTTCTACTTTTTTACTATTTGGGAAGAGCATGTTAATAGTAAATAACAAGTTTGGACGAGTTTGGGCCATCCCCATCGGGAAGTGAGTTTTGCACGCTGTCTTCAACTGATGTTTCAATCAACACAGGAGCGCTCCGATACATCACCTAATGGGCTCAGGGTTGCAAGCTTCAGATTTGCTTTGGCGCCTTTCTGTTCTCAACACACCCCCTATCGAGGTCTCTACCCTCACGAGAAACTGGGTTGTATACCAACTTTACATAGCGGCTAGTGGTTGTATATCTCCATATCATATCCGGTAAAGTCCCCTGGGTAGTGGCTTGGGGGGAAAACCACTCAGATTTGTATGGACAGCAGATCCGCCGCAACACTGCGGATGCAATATGGCCATGGGTCAAAATCCAAAGCCCGTACCCCCAGTGAACATCAACCAATCCAACCACTAAAATCTTGGTTCTAAAATGGGTGGTGAATTTACCTACCAACCAAAATGGGATCCCATTGGTTTTGACAACCACACCCATATGTCGATAACAAAGAAACTCACTTGCCCAAAGCCGACCTTTTGGTTTCCCATGTTTGGTCCATTTTTAGTAAAGGCCCCAAAAGGTTAACCTTTTATTTCTGGGTCCTTTGGGCAACTGACAAAAGGCAAAGCGCTCAAAGAAGACTCGGCGGTTCCCAGCCATCGCCTTGGCTTTGTATCGTTTTAGCTTTTTAGCTTTTTAGTGTTTAGCGCTGGGGATTTCCCTTTCACCCACTACAAGTTATTCCCCTTTTTCGCGGGGCGTCAGAAAAACGGAGAGCCCAGAAAAGCGCAGCCCGCATGCCATGCGCAGCCAAGGAAGTCGCAGCCAAGAGCCAGGCAGGTGGAGCTCGATGGGCAAGTGGCTCAACTTTGGCCACATCCCCCAAGTGTTCCCACCTTTGCTCCTTTGAATTGGTTTAAACTGAAGTGAGTTCTCCTTAGAACATGGGTTGGCTTAAGCTAAAGTGAGTTCTCTTTAGAGCAGCCTCAGCCTTTTGCTTGACTGCTATTGGGGAACGGATCTTTAGACAACGTTTTGGTTGAAGTCAAGTTGGGTGGCCACAAAAAGTTGAACTTTTTGCAGAGGGGTCAACAGCAATCAAGCTTTTTGGGTTGTTGGTCGAGAGGTTTCACTTTTTTGCGCCTCAAAGTGCTCGACTTTCAGATTTGAGGCCAGCCCCTTCTCAGCCGTTAAGCCTTGGGGCAGTCTCCCACCGCCCCCCCCTTTAACTTTTGGGGATTTCAAGTGGTTTTTCATTAAACCCACAAAAAGTGAAGAACTTTTTGCAGAGGTGACATCTGAAAAAGAACCTCTCATCTTCACCCTGCGTCCTCTCCCGATAGAATTGGTACGGGTCCCGAGTTTTCGGCTGGGGACACCGCCCGGTTCGGGGCCCTGTCAAGAGGGTCCCGCTGATGTTGTTATTCCACCCGTTTGTGCGGGCCCCGACAAAAACCCAGCCGTGTTAGTAGTGTTAAAGTAAGGCCTATGTAAGCCTCACCATCTTGGTAGAACCAACGGTCAGGGGATTTTGGGCGCTCAGGTGGTGTTTGTTTTGGTGATTACTCTTCAGTATCATGTAGTATTTGGGTGGCGGTCGAAAAATGAGTCAGCCACGAGCCTGCGCACTGCCATGTTTGGGAGGGTCAATCGAGCAGACGGATTCGAATTCCCCCGCAACCAGCTGGTTTCCTCCAAGTGAGGTCCAAATGGGTCGATTCTTGCCCGCGATTGATTCTGGAGAGAAGGAACCCTAGCTTGGCTGCTGGGTTGGTTGTTTGGACTTTGTCGAAGCTATATCCAGGCCCAGATGGGTCTGTGTGTGTGTGTGTCTGTGTTTGCGTGTCTGCGTGTCTGCGTGCTTTCTCTGTCTCTGTGTCTCTGTGTCTCTGTGTCTGCATGTGTGTGTGTGTGTTCCGTGTCTGTGTGTGTCTGCGTGTCTGTGCGTCTGTGTGTCTGTGTTTGCTGGATCCTCTCCTTTTGGGTCGGTTCCCTTTGTTAGCCAAGCCCACGGGGAAGACTGGATGCCCCCAGTCGCGCAGGCCATGACCCAGTGCCTCTCCCATCTCTACGGCAGTCAGCTGATGAGGCCGACGACTCCGAAGGGGACTCCGAATGCGCGAAAGTAGCTCATGTTCCCCCAGCTAGGTGCCCTTTCTCACCCTTTTTTGGGGGAGGGTCCCCTTACTAAAATAGACTACAGACAAAAGGGTATCCTTATTCTAGCCTCTCTACTGGAGGACCTAGAAAGCGAATCAACCAGACCTTTTGGTTTTTCCTTTTGGTCTCAAAGGGTGATCACCTTGTATTTCCAGGTCCGAACTAAGTGAGCTTGATGTGAGGGGAAACCACCCCTGATGAGCATGGTCCTTCGGGAGAGAAATTACTTGGGCTACTTAAAGGGGCGATAGGGTACTTAGCAAGTGGCGAGTAAGTGGTTGCTGTATATCCCGCAAAAGCCAGGGGTTTGGTTCAGTCTCCGTTCGCCGGGTTCTAACTCACCAGGCTTATAAAATCCCCACTTGCCTGAGATACCGAATCGATCCTCACAAGTTGATGGACATCAAGCTTGGTGGCGCACGCTAACGGGTCCGGGACCACACCGCTCGGGGGTTTCGGGTTTATGGACACGGCCATGCGAGCTGGGTCGCTATGTCTTTTGTGTGGTCATCAAACATGTTGTTTGGCTGCAGCCCTTGTGTCGGAGCTGGAGCCCGGTGCACGCTGAGCGGCTCGTTTCGAGAGGTGGAACGTGCTGGCCATTGGGGACTCGGCCACTGGGACGGGAAAGGGGGGTGGTTGATCACTCGGGGTTTATCCAAGCACTTCTGTGGTACTTGGGAATTTTTGCGGGTATTCTTTGGGAAGCCAGGCCCTTTCCAGTTGTTATCACAGAAGTGGAGTCCATTTCCCGCAGCCCTGTTGGATCATGTTTTTTTGTTTTTTCCTGGTTCTGTCGGTGTTTAGTGGGGGGCTGCTAAAAAGACGAGGTCGGTTTTTGCCGGCCCTTGCCATGGGGTGTAAAGGGACCCTCCAGTTGGCTTTCAACGTCGCCTCGGCCCATTTCGCAGTCCCTGAATCACTGAATGTCTCTTTTTGGAGCTCCAAACGTGGCACTTTTCTTGGAGCCCACTAGCTGCTGGTGAAGGCGAGTTTCTCTTGGGGTGATGGATCAGGTAACGTAGGGAGCCCCTGACAGGCGCTGGCACTTGTTTTGGAGCCCCTTTGAGATCAAGTTCTAAAAGCTGGATCAAGGTTTGGTCGCACGAAAACACCTGTTCCCCTTTCCTATGCATGGTTGATGTTGGGAAACATTTTGGGGTTGGCTTAGGGTTGGTTTGGGGTTGGTTTGGGTTTGGTTTGGGGTTGGCTTAGGGTTGGTTTGGGGTTGGTTTGGGTTTGGTTTGGGGTTGGTTTGGGGTTGGCTTAGGGTTGGTTTGGGTTGGTTTGGGTTTGGTTTGGGGTTGGTTTGGGGTTGGCTTAGGGTTGGTTTGGGGTTGGCTTAGGGTTGGTTTGGGGTTGGCTTAGGGTTGGTTTGGGGTTGGTTTGGGTTTGGTTTGGGGTTGGCTTAGGGTTGGTTTGGGTTTGGTTTGGGGTTGGCTTAGGGTTGGTTGGTTTGGGGTTGGTTTGGGTTTGGTTTGGGGTTGGTTTGGGGCTTAGGGTTGGTTTGGGTTGGTTTGGGGTTGGTTTGGGGTTGGCTTAGGGTTGGTTTGGGGTTGGCTTAGGGTTGGTTTGGGGTTGGCTTAGGGTTGGTTTGGGGTTGGCTTAGGGTTGGTTTGGGGTTGGTTTGGGTTTGGTTTGGGGTTGGCTTAGGGTTGGTTTGGGGTTGGTTTGGGGTTGGCTTAGGGTTGGTTTGGGGTTGGCTTAGGGTTGGTTTGGGGTTGGCTTAGGGTTGGTTTGGGGTTGGTTTGGGTTTGGTTTGGGGTTGGCTTAGGGTTGGTTTGGGTTTGGTTTGGGGTTGGCTTAGGGTTGGTTTGGCATTTTTGCTTGTTGTGGTTTAGTGGTTGAAATCCAACCACAAAATCTGCTAAAAAATGATAAGTTTTGCTCCCCAAACCCAACGTCAACAAAGTATGACGATGGAACATATTTAAATCCAAGTTCTCGGGCTGCACATGGCTCAAAAGGGCTGATGGGCCTTGAGGCTCGGTCTCCAAGACCTGAGTCAAAAATGTCCAGATCTTCTATGCCTTTGGGGCGCGTGGATTCGCGAAAAAAAAACATGAGGGTAGGGAACTTGGGGGAAGACACCGTCCCTGCTGCAGCCAGCAGAGCGCGCCCAGCAGCCGTTATACAACCCAGTGTTGAAGCCACCCCCTCGCCCCCCGCTTCCCCCCCGCTTACTTGGGGCTCCAATTCTTAATTCAGGTGTTGGAATTATAGTAGCATTTCCAGAATATTTGGGTGTCCCTTTTTTGGGGGGCCCTTGGAAAAGCGGGTCTACTTCAAAACCAAACAAAAGGGGTTTCCTTAAAGAAGGCACTCATTCCCATGTTGTATGTCCTGTTGGTTTTAAAGGGGTTCTATCACTGGATGTTTCTTTTCAAGGGGTTTCCCCTAAAAAAGGAAGGCACCTTCCCATGTCGCAGGCTCTTCCAAAACGCCCAATTTCATAGGTGGCCTTTTTGGTTGTTTTGGTCGAACAATATGATGGGGTTTCCCTGATGTACCTGGTGGTTTCATCATCTACCAGGGCCATCTCTTTGCCCCAAAAGGACACCTGCTTGACTGCTATTGGGTGGGATCTTTAGGCTTTCACTTTTTGATTGAGATCAAGTTGTTTTCAAAACTACCCCCCCCCCTCAAAAAAAGAAAGAAGAACCAAGAAGTGACACACTCTTTTTTTTGCAGAGGGGTCGTTGCAGCCAGCCCAAGCCTCCGCGCCCCAAAAAGGCGCGTCTTCGCGCGCTTGATCGATCCGCCTCGCTTCGCCTCGCCTCGCTTCGCATCGCTTGGGCGCGCCGAGACGGTGGAGCTCGAGGCCCTGAAGAAGGTCTTGGCCGGCAAGTGGCGCACCCCGCGCCTGGGCAAGCGCTTCAGCGCTTGGGTTTGGAAGGGGACGATTAGACCAACCCCAGCGAGTGGCGCCCTACTGTTACTTTTTTTTGGGGAAGGGGAGGGCTTCACCTACTAAAATAGACGTAAGAAAGGGTAGCCTTCTTGCAAGCTCTCTGCCGGAGGACCTAGAAACAGGAAAGCAAGCTTTTGGGGCCATGTCCACCTTTTGACCTTTTGGTGATCCCCCTTTTCGGGAACCCACCCCTAACCAACTTTTGAAGGGGCAAACCTACATTTGGACCTGCGGCTTTTTTTTGGCGAAAAGCCTTTTTTAGAAACCAAGAGGCGGCCCCAAAAGGCGGCCACCTCTGGGCCACCTTCGGGCGGGGTCCGGGCCCCAGCCGAAAAGGAGCACCTGCCAGAAGAGAGCCGTGGAAAGGCTGGAGCTACCCCACCAAGTAACATGGGTTTGTGCAAAAAGGCCAACTAACCAAGAGGAAAGTAGTCTTTCTACAGGGGTCTCTGCACTTCCATGTTAGCTGGTGGGAGGGTATCCAAATTTGTTTCTATAGAAAAAAGCCTTTCGGACTAGGGATCGGAGTGTTGGCACCTCATAGCCTGGGTTTAAGTTTTGAGTTCTTGTCATAGGTGTCCTTTTTGGTTGTTTTGCTAGAAGAATAGATGGGTGTCCCTGGTTTACCTGGTGGTCTAATCGTCTACCAGGGCCATCTGTTTTCCCTAAATGGACACCAACGGTTTTCCTGAGAACCAGCAAGTCCTGTGACTGGAAACTCGGTCTTTGCCAGTTAGAGCTGACGCAATTCTTTCTGCTCCGATGCGATCTATTGAGCAAGTCCGGAAACTGGGTGCAACATGGCCATGGTTGTTGTTGGGAAACATTTTACATTTTTGCTCATTGTGGTTGAGTGGTAAATCCAACCACTTAACTGCTAAACAAATATTTGTTGCTTCCCTTCCAACCTGTGTTTCGGGAAAGTCGAAAGTGATGGACCCCGCAACCCCCCACCCGAAATCAGAAAGCGTGGAGCCGAGGCTTTGCAAGACCTTGAAGTTCGATGCGCGGCCCAGCCTTGACCAGCCCTTTGGCATCCAAGAAGCTGCTTTTTAACCTATCTTCATGAACTGTTTTAAACATATATATATATATATGGTACCCCCCTCTCAAAGCTGGTGGTTTCCTTGGTTTCCAAAACCACCCCAAGAGTTTGGGTAGCCTCAAAAGGACACGCAGAAGCAGGGCTCCGTAAAAGATCTCCATTTTGCAACCATTTGAAACATGTTGCTTTTTCAACACCAAAATAAAGTTGGAAACCACCACTTACAAGTTGCAATGTTCAGGTGTATAATGTAAGGATCCGTGTTCATGAACTGTTTTCGTTGGCTAAACATATGGCCCACATATAAATATATATATATATAGTACCCCCTTTTCCATGGATCTACCTTCCTTTGTGCAGTGGGGGGTAGCATATGTATATATATATACCTGGATATTCCAATGCCGAGGAATTCCTAGGCGTTCTGGTTCTCAAGGCGTTTTAGGCGTTCTAGGTGTTGTTTTTTTTTTTTTTGGGGGGGGGGGGTAGTTTTGCCTTTTTTGTTCCCTTCTTCTTTTTTGCGGGCGTTTGCCCATTGGTTTGCTTAGACATTTCCCTTGGCCCAAGACGAAGTCCAAGACTTCCCGTCTTGGCGAGTCGACTTTTTGGGTCGATGGCAGGCTCACGACGCAGATCCAGACCGTGACCCCACATCTGGCGGTGCCGGGCTCAGACCGCTCCGGAGGTCCGCCCGGAACAACGGGTCAGGGAAACCAACCAGTAGGGATACAGGGGGAACCAAAAATACGGGAGGATTCCCCTTAAATGCACCACTAAGTTTGATATGGGAAATGGCGAGGGGATTCCCCCATCTCCCGGCCCCCTTATCCCCGCTTCGTTTGTGCAAGTGGGAGGAATCACTCTCACTCGGGGTTTATCCACTTGGGTATGGCTCAAAATGACGCCGGGGCAAACCGCAGGCTTCAAGCGGATTCCATTTCCCACAGCCCTGGCCCCAAGTAAACAAGGCAGTAGAGCCACACAAAGAAAGATCGGGATTGTTGTGAAGCTGCCCTGGTTGAGGAACTCCAGTTTCAGACAATAAACTCCAATGTCCATCGGCTCGCGGAAGTTGGCCACCCGGATTTACAAAACGGAAAACCATAGGGGTGCGGATTTTATTTATGTATTTTTTTCGGATTCAAAACAATCCTAAAATATATATCCCTCCAAACCATAGCCCCGTTCCCGTCACGTGATCCGGGTTCCCAACAAAAGCCCAGACCCAGATCACAAAATCCATACTCCGTGGCGCGAAGTGTTTAGCTTCAAAGCTGGTGGAACCAAAATGAAGCATAGAGTTTGTTTGTTTTGTTTGTTTGTTTTGTTTGCTTGCTTGTTTGCTTGCTTGTTTGTTTGTTTGTTTGTTTGTTTGTTTGTTTTTGTTTGGTTGGGTTTGGTTGGGTTGGGTTGGGTTGGTTAGTTGGTTGGTTTGGTTTATTTTCTTTTTTGTTTGGTCTTTTGGTCTGTTGGTCGGTCGGTCGGTCGGTCGGCTGGTTGGTTGGTTGGTCGGTCGGTCGGTCGCTTGGTTGGTTGGTTGGTCGGTTGGTTGGTGAGTTGGTTGCCGTTGTTTTTGTTGGTTTGTTTGGGTTGGTTGTTTGTTGCTTTGGGCAAAGCGCCGCGTTTGCGCAGAGCGCTTTTTGCTGAGCGGCTCTTTCAAGGACGCTTTCTTCCCCATACACTTTCGCGAGACAAGGGACTGGAAGAATGGGGTGGGGAGTGCCCACGTTTGTTTTTTGTTTTGTTGTGTGTGTTTCAGTTTTCTTTTTTTCCGGAAGTTAAAGGGGCAGGGTACTGTCAGTAAGTGGTGAGTAAGCCTGGTTATGACCCACTGAGCAGAGACTCCTGTCCATGGCTTTTGTGGGCTATAGAAGGCGTACGCGTCGGTGCGTCACTCGAGCTTCGGCTCTTCCGCTGTTCTGTTGTGAGCGCGTGTTGGATCATGGGCTCAACAAGGGCAACACCCTCTCCCCGCGGTTTGTTTTCTTCCAAAAAGTCCCAACCCCTGGACTATCTAGTAAAACGCGGTCTCAACCATGCTCCAATTGGTTCCTCGGTTTGGCGGTTCGGTTTGATGTCAAGATCCCACAGCTCAACTCCCACAGCCCTGGCCAGTCCGAAGCCTGAAAGGCACCGTCGGCTGAGGACATGATGGCCTGCAGCAAGGATTTCGACCGCTTTAGCCTTCAGCCTTGGGGCTGAAACGCCGCAAGCTCAGGCTCAAGCAAGCGGTGTGCCTGCAAGTTGCGCACTTCGCTTGTCCAGCCCCAAATCGGATGTGGTTGGGAAGAGGAATGTGCTTCTTGTACGACTTTTGGCACTGCAGGTTCGACCGGCGCACCAATGATTTGGAGAGGGCTTGCAGGATGTAAGCATATGAACCTCTGAACAGGGCTCCTTAAAAGATCTCCATTTTGCAACCATTTGAAACATGGCTGGCGTTTTCAACACCAAAATAAAGTTGGAAACCACAATTTACAAGTTGCAATGTTCAGGTGTTGTCATGCATCCGGATCCCTGTCTGACCTGGGCGTTTGCTCGGTGGCTCTCTCCAGCCCCTCCCACGGTCCCCCTTGAATAAGCCGCATGCAGGTTTCGGGCGCGGGAAGGAGCGAAAGCCTGTCGGGGATCGCTTGCTTCGGGAATTTTGGGCATATGTGTGACATACGCAACTTGCAAAGGGGTGGTTAAAGGGAATTCCCAGCAAAAACCGCCAAAGACGGAACTCAATGTACCGGTTGCGGCTAATGCAAAAGGGGGTTTCAATACAACCACGCTTTTTCCGGGTGGGGGATGTCCCATTCCCTAAGTAAAGTATGGAAGAGGTCGTGCCCCAAATGGACTTTCCCCATGCGTAGGGGGGCCCACGACCAATACGCCCAAGCAGCCGAGGCCCTTTGAGTGACCACGGTGACCCGCTTTCGCCTTTTTGGCGGCCGATCTGAGATCCTCATGTAGACTTCGAGCATCCTGGGGAAGATGCATACTTTTTAGCAGCACTTTAACTGGGTCCGGCTTTGGCGCGGGGTCAGGCCCACAAGAGACAGAAATGCCAGCTGACCCGCGTTGGCGGGTCCACGAGAGTTGCCAATGCCGGACCCCAAGTATTAAGGCGCCAGGTGATCGACCCAAAAGCCAGCTGTTACTTATTCCAGCACCCCCGGCTTTTCCCATATCCAAACCTGGGTGCAGGTTGTTTGTAAACAAGCTTTGTTTCTTTGGTTTTACCGGCCGTCTTTTGGATTCACCAGGCCACGAGGCGTTGTTCTATACTGAGCTCGCACGGGTATGGCATGTCCATTTTGCCCATGTTCCAGCTGCAGCCTCTTCTTTTCGCCGCGGACGCTGCTCGGCGCGAACATGCCCGGATCCCCCTTGCATATTCAGGTAGCCCTTGATTGGTGGTTGTGCTTGGGAATCTGCCCAGAGCTTTTGAGATTGGCGATGTATGGACAGGAATCTCAATATGCTTTGCTACCCGGCGGGCCAAGTCCTTTCAAAACAGGTCAAGGCTTCAGTTTGGGTGGTTTGCCAAAAGAATGATGGGTGGAACAAATGGCGGATCAATGTTTAAAGACACTAATCTAGTTGCCTGTTACGGTGGTGATTTTGGAGAAGGTCATGATTTTGACGCTTTTTCCGGGATTGTCACAGTGAACTGGGGGTGTTTCCCCTCAGCCTACCGCTTCGAGGGCAACTTTGGTATGTCATGAGGCCCTTTTCAAGGGTGATATCCAGGGTAACGCGTCCTCCCAAGCAGACCTCACGAAACCCTTTGGTTGACCAGCTATACTAGGGGAACCCAGTAGTGCCCCTTTACCATTTTTTGGGGGAGGGTTCCCGTACTAGAATAGACTACAGAAAAAAGGTGGCACCCTTATTCTAACCTCTCTACTAGGACCTTATAACGCAGAAACCGAACATATTCTTCTTGGAGTACCCCAGGTCAGCTACGCGAGTTGGATTCGGATTTGAACTGGTTCTTGCAGGCGGTGAATGGCAACCGATCCGCACCACCAATTTTTCAGGGAAGCTGAATACCCACGGATCTTCCCAGACACACTCCGGGTTGAGAGCCCCCTTTGTTTCTTCCCCCAGAATTAGTTCCCTTTTGGATTTTGCTTTTTGGGGTCCCGTTGTTTTCAAATAACCAGGCAAACATGTCTTTTTTGCTGGGGTCCTAATTCCAGCCAAGGTTTATGATCAGTTTTGAAGGGGGAACGCTCCTTTAAAATCAGCTACCCAAAAACGAGTGCCGATTCTTGCTTCCCCGAGGCTCAGAGGGATTGAGGAAATTATATGGCCTCTCTTGTGGGTGATGGGGTTGGTGTGACGATCACGACCATGACGACAGCTTTCCTATTGTTCGTTTGGTGGATGTTACTCATTTGCACCTATTTTTGACATATGCACGTACAACCGTTTAAGGGGTCAACGAACTACATCAGTTAAGGCTGTGTTGTGTGCACTTCAACATTCAGAGCTGCTCAACGTCAGGGATTGGATTCCTATCTTAATGAGCCCAAGTGGGGGTAAAATGAGCTTACCCATGAAGTCCTGCGGTGAATTCTGGCAATTTCTCCAGATAGACCAACCCCCTTGCAGCAAGTTTCTTCCCCAGAATTAGCTCCCCTTTTTGTGTTGTTTCGCTTTTTTTGGGTCCCTTTGTTTTCCACTAACCAGGCAAAAAAGATCATTTTTCGCTGGGGTCCTAATTCCAGCCTACCAACCACGAGAGCCACTTCCGCGGCCGGAAGAGCATCTCGGCCGAAGGCCGACCGTCATCGACCGTCCATGATCTCCAGCTCAATGGCTTGGCTTCATCGGACATCCGCAGCAGTTTGGCCAGCCTCGTGCCATGCCCAGGTGCCAGGAAAGAATGTAAAGAATGAATAATTGTAGCCGCTTCGCGTTGCCCGCCTTGGCCAGTCCGCTTTTGGCTGGCTTTAAGGTATACACCGTGCTTTAGTTTGCCTTGAAGTCTTGTGTTTGCGTGAGCTGGCTTCCAATGTGGAGGGTGGGTGCATGTCTGGGTGTTTCTACATGGCTTCAAGGGCCAGAACGAGAGAGAGCTACAGAATGGAAATTTGGCCGGCTTCCCTTTCTCGAAGGGATCTGACCGCGTCCCGGCCCTGGACCTTCCAGGCTTGCTGCAGGCGTACTTGCAGGCGTACTGGAGGCAGTTGGAGCAGGGATTTTGGCTGCGCGACATAGCAAAAAAATGCTTTGGTTTTGTAGTTTTTCGTGAAACGTCGAAATGTAGGTACTCTTACCCAAATTGCTGGCTTCCGATGGTTTGGTGGCGTGGCTTTCGGGCAACTAGGCCAAGCCGAAACTCCAAACCACAAATCCAAGCAACTGGAAAGAAGCTGGCTTTGGACATCGGAATGAGCTGGCTCATGAAGTCCCTGACATGTTCTTTCCTATGTTTGGTTTGTGAATGCAAGTGAGACAGAAGGACGCAAGGCCGAGGCAACACCTGGCAATGCGACCTTGCGTAAGCCAGCCTGGCACTGGCGTGCATTCGCTCCAGCAAGGTGCTGGCAGTCCGCGCCAGCGCTGTTTGCTGTGGAGGATGTGGGTCGTCTTCGGCGCTGCCGTGAGAAATCAGGAGCGAATACCTGGTCAGTGGCTACAAGGAAGTCGTCCTCGCGCAGGAGGTGCGCGGCAGGCTGGCCATGTAGAAACTGCCCGTTTCATGCCAATGATGGTGCCCTTTTCTGCGCTCAATCTGGTTGGGGCCTGACTGAAAAAGCCTTTGCAAGTGGCAGCTTGTTTTGGACGACATGGAGCAACTTACCAAGCCCCGCCGCATTTACACATCCCACTTACACAGGCCCTGCTGACGTGCAGTAGCCTCATTACAGTTTCGTCCAGGTCGCCAGACGCCGCTGCTACGGGTCAGGATTACGGCTTCCTTTCATCTTGTGGTGGGATTTTCTTCTTCGGGCAAGCTGGCTACAAGGTTTAACTTGGTAGTCGCCGGGCTCAGCAGCTTTACACATTGCCTGGCTCATGTTTGAAACGGGTGAACTGCTGACCAGATTCAGAACGGGGTGACGTGCCACGTGTCAAGGGTGCAGCGTCCCACCCCACTGGACATGGCGCGGGCGTCGGTGATCAAGGGCGATTCAACACAGCGGTGGCCAAAGAACCCCACAAACGCTTGGGCAGGCGCTGGCTTTGATGGTCTTGAGGGCTTTGGGCGCTTGGTGGCAACCAGGAGCTAACGGGCCCCCGAATCAAGCCCGGAGAGGCTTCAGCAGTTGGAGTTAGGATGCTTGACTTCCCGGGCTGGCGCCGCCGACTCGCATACGCCAGACAGAGAAAGAAAGCGAGAAAGAGACAGAGAAAGAGGAGAGAGAGAGAGAGAGAGAGAGAGGGGACCGGAGACAGAGGCAGAGACAGACGAGAGGAGAGGAGGTGCAGTAACAGAAAGGGGCGGGGATGGGCAGGGCAATTGTGGACACCACGCACACATGTCGTCGTTCGTCTACCACCAATCATGGCTTCTACAGTGTTCGGGGCCACATGGCGACGAGGCTGGCAGTTTCACTGGAACAGTTAGAGCTCAAGCCAACTTCTTTTTTAACACCATCTGACCTGCAGCTTTGGCCACCTGGCGCGTTACAAAGGGCCCCTTCCTTTCGGCAGGCCCATGACTTGCTCGGTGGGCGGCGGCCTTTGAAGTGGTAGAGACCACACGGGCTCAACCCACTCCTTTGCTTCCTGAAGCCCACCACCCACTAAGAGCAAGACAGAGCAAGCAGAGGCCCTCTTGGGAGGGCGTTTGTGACACCACATGGGTTCGAGCGGTAAGAGCTTGATTAGAGCCTTGACGCGTGCAGCGATCGCAAAGCTTTCCGCGATGCGCGCCGTCTGGGCCCCAAAGTTCCATGACGCGCAGCTTTGGCTTGCGCCGGTCCTTGGAAAATGTTGTGTTTCTTTTGCAAAAGGCAAAAGTGCAGGAGGCCCTGTCCCATGAAGGACGCTGGGACCCCCCTTCGGGGGGCTCATTGGTTTCCTGCCTGCGTGTTTCGCCCCCGCGCCCATTTTTTGAACGGCAACAGGCCGCTCACTTTCCATAACCCGTGCTGGGAAGGAGACTTCCCGACACCTCACCCACTGCAACCCAGAAAGCTTATTTTCTGGGTAAGAAGTACGGCGACGGTCACTTGGGGGTTGCGACGTCATCCATGATGAGGGTGTGTTTCAAAGGGGTTCCCTATTTTCGGTTGATGAATTGCAACCACGACATGGGGTCCTGATTCAACAACCCCCTATGGGCGGTGCAACTTGCGGCATTTTCAGCGCAACTTGCCGGAAGATATTCTATTAGCGGTCACCAGCGTGCAGGCCGTCTGTCCGCAAAGGATGGCTTGTGCCCATGTGACCCTTATCCACTGTAGCTTCCTCGAAGACCGTGCTACAGCGCGAATGTCAGAGGCGGTGCAGAACAGGTCGTCAACTACTGGTTCCTAAGTGCCAAATGTGAGCACAATTCGCCAAACTCGTGCCCTGCGTTTTTTCTCCCGGGTTCTTTGGAAAGAACAATTTGGCAATCCCCCCAAGTAATATGCGGAGGGTGCCCAGTATTATAGAGACCTTCCCTTTTCAGTAATGAATGGAAACTTCGGCTGCGAATTGACAGCTCGTTAGTCCCGCGTTTTTTTTGGCTATACTTCAGAAAGCAGCTACAGGGTCCTCAAATTTAAATGAAACAAGCTCGGCAATCTTCCTGCTAAGTTCATCGTCTGATCATTTTTTTTTTTGGGGGGGGGGGGGGCAGAATCAAGTGCCAAGAAAAGGATACCCTCACTCACTGAGCTCCTGGACTTCAATGTGTGCGGGAAGACAATTTAGTGGGTTGGGGGGCTTCTTAACAGTCATGGGAGGTTTGTCGCATTTAAGGGAGGGAGCCAACTATTAATCTGCCAACTCAGCATGTTCTGAATATCCTGCTTCGTCTTGCCACCGCTGGCTGGTGGACTCGCATTTCCAATTGGTTTGGTAAGTTCGGCATTTGCGTGTCATT